TTTTGTTTTATTTGTTCAATATTGCCCAAACTGCTTTACGCTTCAGCTTCAAATTTTTGGCGATGTCGACTTGACGTTGACCATCTTTGTATAACTCAGTGGTCTTAGTTTTCACATCGAAATACATTTCTGGACCACGCGGCATGGTCTTAAAATCACTCAACTTATTCCACAATTCTTGATGAACACAAACTAATCCTCTTCTGACACGAAACTGTACTAAACTAATGTTGAAAAGAATTTGTCTACATATTTTTGTCCCTCACAAAAAAGTGCTTATATTCAAACTTGTATTGTGTTCATTGCAGATAATGTAAAAACAAGGAATTTTAGTTTTTCTACTAATAACGCATTTGTTTATGGAGCAATGAAGTATGAATTCGTTTTCTAAAGGTATTTAGGTAAATATTAATATTTGTCTATATACTTTTGTCCATTACTGTATTTCAAATTGACTGTGCGGGCATAATAGCAAGTTTCGCAGAAGACACAGCAGTTCTTTATAAAGGTGATGACTTTATTTAAAAAGTATAGTTGACAATGATTTTGTCGAAGTTATCTAGTGGCTTAATAACAGAAAACTGAGCATTAATTACCCTAAGATACACTTAGTATAGTTATTTTGAACTCTAAGTACCAAATGTCATTTCCAGTAAAAAAAAATGTTATTTCGTACAAATGTTGCGTTGCCTCACGTAATCGAAATAAAGCATTTCCTGAAAAATTGCCAAGTGACAAAAAAGTTTAAAATTATCCAAAAGTATCAACGGATGAGTTTTGATTTATTCGTATATTTAGGAATCACTTTATAGAATCGAGAGACGGCTCACAAGTTGGAAGTAGAAATGGATCTATGAGTATTTCGATTTGGTAGTTTGGACACTTAGAGGAGTTCGACACGTTCTTGGCGTACCCAAATACTTGATATATATTTCAAATCCTTCAAGAACGCAGATGTGATCAAGTATCAGATATACACAAATTGCTTGGATTCCCTGAACTTCATTTCCTATTTTGCAGAGATGACTAAAATTTCCCTCTACTTTTACGTTACAAATAGAATATTGATTTTCTGGACTTCCTTAATACTGATTTGCATGGTCTTTTTTCCAGCAACTTTATGCGTATTACACTTTAAGAGCTCCGAAGTGACATATACATCCGAACACCCAGTTTAAATGGTTTTATTTTAATAAAATTTTGTATAAGTACTTAATGAAGCGTAATAAGTAAATGATAAAAATTTCAAAATGATTGCACTGCTTTAAACCCCTTTGATCTTTAATATTGTGTGGATGCACCCTGATATGCTACGCATTCTGCAACGCGCCTAGGCATGCTTCTGATCAGGTGGTCAATGTCCTCCTGTGGTATCTCATTCCAGGCAACCACCAACTCCTCTCGAAGTGCTTCTAGAGTCTGAGGAGGACGTTGCAAATTGAGCAATCTCCTACCCATCATATCCCACACGTGCTCAATTGGGGATAAGTCGGGAGATCTTGGTGGCCATGGTAACAATGTGACATCATTATGTTGAAAGAAGTCTATTGTGACTCTTGCAACATGTGGTCGGGCATTATCTTGTTGGAAAGTTGGATCTGCCAGGGTGTCAAGATAGGGTAAAAGATGGGGTTCTAGAACTTCGTGGATATAACGCTGCGCGTTCATGTTACCTCTGATGAAGATTAAAGGTGACCTGGAACCATAAGCTATAGCACCCCAAACCATAACTCCAACAGGGTGATGAACATGTCTTTCAACAAAAAACTGTGGATTCCTCCTTTCACCACGTCGCCTTCTAACCCTGGCACGACCATCGTGCATGTCTAAACAAAATCGAGACTCGTCACTAAAGACAATACTGTTCCATTCCTGATCCCAGAGTGACCGTTGTCTGCACCACTCAAGGCGATTACGTCGGTGTTCTCGAGTTAAAGGGAGGACCCAGTGTGGCCGGTATGAAAACAAGCCAAAACTTCTCATTCGTCGGTAAACACTTCGCATGCCAATAGGTCTTCCGTGTTCTGCAAACCATTCATTTGCAATGGACCTGGAGAAACGGTCCCTTAAGGCCAATAATCTTAGGCGGCGATCTTCACGGTCTGTTGTTCTACGGCGGCGTCCAGTGCCCCTTGCTCTTTGCGTACGGCCTTCTCGAAGCCATGTCTGACAACACCTAATCACAGTGTCTACACTTCTTTGCACTCTAACTGCAATTGCCCGAAACGAAAGTCCAGCTTCCCGAAGTCCCACTATACGGCCCCTATCAAACTCACTAAGTTGACGAAATCGTACAGGTCTCCGTACTCTAGGCATCGTAACCGATCGTAAAGGATGTCAAGAACCAAAATCCGCCAACGTTGATTCTTTACTGCGGCTGAAATATTCATTTTCAGAGCGTTAGTGAATTAAAAAAAAAGCAGTATAAAAACCGGAATGTCCAACTGATAAGGCTGAAAATTTTTTCACTTGTTATTTACAATAAGATAAATACATTCACCAACTTTTATTAAAATAAAACCATTTAAACTGGGTGTTCGGATTTATATGTCAGTATAGTTTTGGGAAGAGCTGGCCGAGAATTATAAAATAGAAGTTTACAGGGTTATACGAAGTCGCTTGAATGGGGGCAAACTTGCGTGTTTAGGTAATCAACAAAATGCCGCTCATAAAGTTTCGAGTTCCAAAGTACTTCCGGAAAGAGAAGAAAAGAAAAACCACTTTTTCCAAAAATCGTTTTTATTTTGTACTGACATTAATTGTAGTGGGATTGCACATTAACATTGTCACTGTTTCCCCTCTACAAGATGGCATAATTAGAATCCCAATATGTCGTTTCGTCTCTTGTTTTTTTGGATTTTTAATACTGATTTCGAAAATGTATACGTCATACATGGCCAACCCCTAGTTACTCTATAAAAACAGAATTTCCTAAGTAGGCCTTAGAATACTTAGATTTCATTTATTTCGTATACCAGACCAGACCTCATATTGAACATAGCAACAGAGTTTGGAAGACTGAGAAGAAAAGACATAAATCGAGCAGTGAGCAATGCATGCAAGTTATTTTGAGATTCCATCTCAAATAATCTCAGGAAAAAATAAAAGTGATTTTGGGATACATCTGGCAAGAGAAATAAATGAGTATCTGATAATTTCAAGGCCTACCTGGGAAAATATGCTTTTTTAAATAACTAAGGTTTGGCAACGACAATATATGACGTATTTTGGAATCAGAATTAAAAACACTATTCATCAGTGCAAAAATAAATTTGATTAATTATGCCAAATCCGTTTTTTCCGTTTTTCTCCGAAAGTACTTTGAATTTCGAAACTTTCTAATTGGAATTTTGGAGTTTTTATTCCCATTTAAGCGACTTCGTTATAGTTTCCGAGATCCCAAAGGTGAGGGTCGAATTTGAAGAACCCTGTATATGTAGGAGAAGGTCGAAGCAGGGTTAATCTTATTGAGGTCATACTGACAGCTGATTTCGATCAAACTATCAGATAATCCCAACTTTTGAATTTTGACTGCATTCCCAGACCTGACTGACATATTTGGTCAAGACCAAGTACAAAGAAAGCTCGTCACTTACTGAAAAATCCCGAGCGTGACAGAATTTCACCTCACCTTTAGACCTTTTCTTGAATTACTACTACTTAAATTTGATCGATTACTTTGATGTGGTATGTCGGTTACTCCATTTATAATGTTCCACATTGCCTCTCAGAGGACACACGCTAAAGAAATCCTTTTGTTTTATTTTACTCAGGCCTTCAGAAGCAACTTATAAATGTATTACATACAGTGCTTTTCCAAGAGGTCTCACCATTATTTTCTGAACGGCAGGGGTATTACGTAGCTCGAAAAGTGACATTATGCAGGTTTTTTATGACATACTTTTGTTTTCGGATTAAGTTAACGGCACAACTTTTTTTTCTCTTGGTATAACTTCATATCATACTCCGTTTTCGGGGAACACAAACTTACGTCAGATTCCTTATATTTTAAAAATGGCGTATAAATAAATACTATGCATTGATCAAGGTAATTTTATGTTTCTCATTTCCTGTAAAACGAAGTAAGATGCGAGAGATGAGATACCCCGAAAAAAAAAAGTTGTATCTTTATCTGCTTAATAAAATACATATTTATTTAAAAAGCGAGTGGTGTCCTTTTTTTTAATATTCATCAAAATCGGCACATGGCTCTTTGAAGTATTGTTATGAAGATTTTAGGATACGTGTGTATATTAACTCTTCTACTTTTTGGTTCCGAAATGCGCACTTCTAACTGCGGCTTATTGTTAAGTAACAACCTGAATATCGGTATTAACTATTCAGATAGAAACTTCCAAAACACTAATATAATATACCATAGCGTTTCGATGGTTGGTTGCCGAGTTCTGAACGATTCAATATACAGGGTGTTTCAGTTTATTGTTGCATAACTTTAAGATTCGATAGAACTTTTAAAATTAATGCATAAAGTCTATATAAACATGCGTGGCTTCCGAAATACAGGGTGTTTAAATTTATTTTCTACAATAGTTTTTTTTAAATATTTCGAACAATATTTGATGTATAACAGTGAAAATTGGTATACAAGGGTTTTTTGGTACGACAAAACGAACCATGGGCATAGTTTTACTGTAGCCGCTAGAGGGCGCTCTCTACTGTACCTGTAGTGTATTAAAATGACCGAAAATTTTTCCTTAGTGCAATTTTTTGCTTTTTGAATAAAAAAACTGATTCTTCGCACTTTTCAACATAAAAAAGCTCTCCTGTGAGTTTTCGTTCCATCGAATCTTAAAGTTATGCAACAATTAACTGAAACACCCTGTAGATATGAAAACGCTCAATTTTTTTTAAAACCTTGTTTCTCAAACTGACAAGAATCGGAAGTATTGCATTATACACAGGACGGCTGATATTCAATGATTTCTATTATGTAATATATAATATATAAACATTCATTTAATTCACGGAAAATGTTTCAGGCAGCAGCGTGGCTTCCTGCGATCACGAAAGCTTTGCCCGAAATGGCACCACTTTCTCTGGAAGAAGCATGAAGTAAGTGATGTGTATATTAATTCTACTTAACTGGATATAACTGATTGCAACTTATCAATTTAATTATATTCGTGTTTAAACTAATTATAATCAATCATAATAATAATAATTATAAAACAATCCTTCGGACTTTGAAGTGTTATGAGAGTAAGCACGCCTTAAGGAAGTTTTAACCATCGTTTTAACCGTACGTCACATATCATTTCTTGTTGCCCCAAAACTAGTCAAACTGACAACACAATTTGAAACTATGACATATGATATGTTATTTACCGGCAGTATTCAAAATTATATATCAGAATGTGTAGACATAAATCTCGTATTCATATAAGGGCTACAACACACTGAAATAACCTTAGAATTAATTGAAAAAAGTAGAACAATCATGCAAGGTGATATGAAATTACATCGTTAATCAGTGGCGTTTTTTAGAGGCGTTTATATAGGGTGATCCTTAATGATATGCGAATATTTAAGGGTGTGAATCTACATGAAAAATTAATGTTAGTTTGCTTAATAAAGTATGGTCCAAAAATGTTTCCTTACAGAAACACGGGGTGTTGAAGTTTTAGGAAAAAAATGGAAATTGATTAATATTTGCAGAACCGCTTCAGATATTTCACTGATATTTAGTACGTAGTGAAAGTTAATAAAGTTGCATATTTTTCAATGCAAAAATAATTTTTAGCTTGCGTTCCTTGAGGATTGAGTGCGTTTTGCGGAATGATCTCTTATTGAATTTAAAATAAACAATAACGCTTCCTTGAGGAGCGTTCATGGAAAGATTTAACCACACTATAAGGCTAGTAGAATCACTTTGGCTAATGTTTGTCAGACGAGTGGATTTTAAGTGCTCTCAGAGCATTAAGGTGCTAGTACAGAGAGCACCAATATAACCAGAGCTGTCGACGCGTTCGCTTCAGCTAGAATCAGTGACAGACACTGCGATACAGGGTAGGACTGTGTTTTCAGGACTGACGTGTGCACTGTTCATCGTCCGAGTGTTTGATTACATTATGAATTAAACAGGTTCTGTATGCGAATTACTGTTTGAATCCGATAGTTCGGATTCTAATACAGTTTTACATACACGGTAGCCCATCGCTTAGGTGTGCGAGGCTGAAGATTGTACTGGAATTTGCCTGATTGTAGTTTCTGGGTTACCGATACTGTGATTTAGCATTTCGTTGTCACACTAGGTTGTGTCATAGGATTATCAAATTTCTCATATTATTTTAGGTTTGTGTTCCACTGTAACCAACATTCTGGCGCTACCGGCGAAGATTACCTAACACCAACGCAACGGGCGCAACGCCAAGTGAAAAAACTCAAGTACCTGTTACACCAAGCAAAGAAGGATCTGGAAGAGAAAGATAGCGATATCTTGAAGCTGACAAAAGAAGTGGTTGAGTTGAGGCTGTATAAAGCAGCTCTTAGCTCACCCGAGGACAAATCAAATTCGAGGTAAAAAAAGATTTATTTTGTCTATCAAAGTGTTAAGAATGAATATAAATATATAAACGAGATTCCCATCACGATGGGACGCCCGATGCATCAGGTTTCGTGGGGCATTTTTATAGGAACGTCTGGAATAATTTATTACAAGTTTTTATTTAACAATACAAAACGAATTAACTGCAGCCATTTTGAATCCAAAATGGTGGATGCTACAAAATGGCGATTCATTATTTCCATAGTAACCGCTATTATATGGGTATCAAATGAAAGGGCTTCGTGAGAGAAACGCAACAAGCAAAGTGACGTCATTCTAACTACTACCCTAAACATACTTGTAATATGCAAAGTGACGTGAAACAATTTTAAAACCAATATGAAGGCCACCGTTAAATGACGTTTTATTTTGTTAATAGTGACTCATATGATATGGCTATCAAATGAAAGGGCTTGATGAGAGAAACCCAATAAGCAAAGTGACATCAATCTAACTACTACCCTAAGCATATGCAAAGTAACGTGACGTAATTCTAAATTCAATATGAAGGCCGCCGTTAAATGTCGATTTAAGATTTTCATGCTCATCGCTATCAAATAAAAGGGTTTAAATATTTCCAATTATAAAAAATGCTACGTATTAAATTTTTAGTTCACTTTATTGACCGCAAAATAAAAGCTTGTTCCCAAAAATGTATTTTTTGTTTAGTTTATTTGTTCTATATGATTGTCATTATATATTAGGGATATTCTTATAAATTTGAATCATTTTTTAGTGATGCGGTGACAGTAAGAGAAAATACCAGTCAGGAGGTAACTCCTGAAGACTTGGTGGATAAAGGTATGAATATGATGAGTACCTCCTGTGATTATAATCACTCCTGTGCTGATTCCGGCCATTTTGAAGACTGCACTACCTCGTCAGTACACTCCAAGGACTCGATGTTGTTCGATGATCATAGATCGGTAAGTCAGATTATTTTAAGTGTGAGTCAAATTTGATACTTCCCCGATCATTCTGTCTGTCCACCGATGATCTGAACTTACAAGATCCCGGATTCTGTCAATATGTTTGTCGGTTCTTGGTTCATCTTCAATCGATTCTCTCCCTTCTAAGTGTCATAAACCACTGAAGCCGGATCACATGTTCCCCTGTCTCCCTTCCAAGCTCAGCGTCTCCAGTGTCGCCAGATCGAACGCCACGTTGCCAACCCCATCACTTAATTAACAGACCTCGAATCTAAGCATGCCAAATCTTTAATATCACATATCTTAAGTACTTCTGAACCGATTATGTTGAAATTTTGCACAATTACAAAAGTAATTAGCAGTAACGCAAAGCTAGACGGTTAAAAATTGAGGTCTAGAGCGATTTTTCCACTTTTTTATTTTTTCTCAAAGTCTACACCTTTCAAGTTATATGATTTGTTTGACTCTTTACAAAAAAGATAATGGATGGTGCTAAATAAATAGCACAATAGAGGTGACACAAAACTTAAAATTTCAAGGGATATCAATTTGGTTTGACGGGATTTCCCAGGGTTGGACTCTTTTTTTATTTTTATTTCAGTTATGAAACGGTTTTGGTCCATATTACCTACCGTTTCACTATGTCCATTTAAGTACCCTGTGTACATGTCAAGCACTAATGGACAGACAAACCAACAGACGGAAATGAACTACATTGTTTTGTCGTAATGTGGGTGTCAAAACATATTTCATCTTCGAAATGTTTTCATATAATTTGCTCAAATGTATAGACATTTTTCGTTAGTTATTTTTTAACAAGAAATCTTATCAAATAAGAGGGTAAGTTCTACATTGGACACTTTTCAGCCAATAAGATCCAGGATAGCGGACAAGTCTACTGCGACAAGCTTTGAAGCGACTGAGATCGAAGCAGAACGCTCGAAACTCATCATGGAGTACGAAAAACGTCTGCAAGAGCTTGTGAGGACTCACGAGGAAGAATCATATCAGTTGAAGCAGAAGCATAACGATAAAGTAGAGGAATTGTTACAACGAATCACTGAAATTAACACTAGGTTAGTAATGAAGGAAATTTGTTGATACGAGCTGTGATTATCGTGTGCACCAGGCATTTAATGATACAATTATTGCACGTAAGAGAGTACGGTATTGTGTGTGATTTTTATTATTTTTCCCTGAAAGTGCGAGAGAAAGTTGTATGATATATGGTATTTTGAGAAATTAGCTCCTGCACAGACCTACATTTCGATCTTATAAAAATAACTCAAGTAGAACGACTGTTGATAACTTCCTCTGAAGTACCTAACATTTTTTTTTTTCGTATTTGCAACCTCAATCTAATCCCCCCTCTTAGACAAATCGGGTGGGTAGATTACGAATCTGATGTCTAGTGTTTCTTGAGATTGACGGAAAGGCCCAAAATATCCCTTTTCCGGTTCGAATTCAAATTGCTTGATCCACTCTGAAAATATTGCCGCAGTATTTCTCAAGCAGCAAAGTAAAACTTTGCGCTCTCAATACATAGAAATTTATTTTTTCAGGTACTGGGAATTAGTTCCTGAAATAGAAGCTGCCAGGGAAAGGATTAAAGAACTAGAACAACAACTAGAAGAAGCTAGTCAAAAATTAGAAGATCAAGAGCGGAAAGCTCAAGAGACTTATTTAAAAATGTACGCTCAAGGCCAAGAAGCTGCCAAGATAGAACAAGAAAGTGCAGTAAGTTAATTTTTTTCGCGAATGACTATGTATGTATTGTATGTATGTATTGTATGTATGTATTGTATGTATGTATTGTATGTATGTATTGTATGTATGTATGTATTGTATGTATGTATTGTATGTATGTATTGTATCTATGTATGTATGTATGTATTGTATGTATGTATTGTATGTATGTATGTATGTATGTATGTATTGTATGTATGTATTGTATGTATGTATTGTATGTATGTATTGTATGTATGTATGTATTGTATGTATGTATTGTATGTATGTATTTATTGTATGTATGTATTGTATTTATGTATTGTATGTATGTATTGTATGTATGTATGTATGTCTGTATGTATTGTATGTATGTATGTATGTATTGTATGTCTGATTGTATGTATGTTTGTATGTGTATTGTATGTATGTTTTGTATGTATGTTGTATGTATGTATTGTATGTATGTATTGTCGTCTGTCTGTCTGTGTATTGTATGTATGTATTGTATGTATGTATGTCTGTATTGTATGTAAGTATGTATTGTATGTAAGTATGTATTGTATGTAAGTATGTATTGTATGTAAGTATGTATTGTATGTAAGTATGTATTGTATGTAATAAAAAAATTCTGTTTCATGGGCTCAAGGCAAACGGCTTGATGGATGTTGACATATGGGGTGTCGGTGGATTCGTCTTAGCAGTGCAAGTGACGTTGGATATATTAAAATTTTATAAAAACAAAATGGCGGATTTTAATGAAAAATCAACCTTGAAATTCCTGTTTCGCAAGCCATCGCTTAAACGGCTTTCTGGATTTTGACATATGAGTTGTCTCTAGATTTCTCATGATAGCACGATGAAATCTTCGTTCTGTTCAGTTATTGCAGTCGAATTATTCGTAATTTTTAAAGATGTACTTGTTTGCTGATGTGATAAAATCAAGAATTGTAGAAATAGATATTTCCCCTTCCGTTACAAATATTACTTTGCTATTTAGAGTGTTTTTCAGATTGTGGAGTTGGCTCACCAACATCCAAGCCGAGTATCAGTTCCAGAGCTACTGCAAGAACTACAGGTTACAAAGAATGAATTAGAAAATATTAAAGTGAGTATATTACCTGTTAAGTGAAACTAACAGTGTGGTTTTTGTGTAAATTATACTAACATGTTAATGTTGTAATAGTTTGGTGGAGAAGCTTTAAGCTTACTGTTTTCAGTAGGTATATGTCCTTTTCATCTCTCCCATAGTTTACTCAAACATATGTTATATTCAATTTCTGAAAAGGTCTTCTATCCATATAATTTTATGTTCTGGACTTTTTTAAAGTGATTATGCAACTAGACAACGATATCCTATCGTATATCGTAAAAATTAATTATAATAGCATATACAAAAATATAAATGGGTGCCTCAAAATTCACAGATTTTAATTAAATAGGAAACACAGGATTTCTTTCTTAGATTATTTTGTATTAAATGATAAAGTACTCTGGACGAGGTTATGTATAGAACCTGTTGGCAAACATACACCTTTTTCTTGGAGTGTCTGTGGGCGGGTTGGCATAGATCTTTGATTTCAAATAACACGATAATACAAATCTAATCGTGTTGAATCTAGGGGGCTAATTCCGATCATCGAAACGACCAGGAAATTTCTTAAATAGTAATTGAACTGTTACACGAGCTGCTTAGTATCACGAAAAAAAAAAAATAAATCCAGTTCTTGTGTATATCTTGAACATAAAATTGTATATGATAGTAACGACACCCTCACGAGATCTAGATAAATGAAATGAAAAACATGTGGCATCTCAATAAGTTCGGTTATAAAAATGCGCTGATACAAGGATTACTGTGGTGTGGGTTCACTAGCTCTCAACTTCGGATTTTTCAAACTGCGATTTGCATAACATAAGATAATTAACCTATTTTCTCAAAACCGGTACCTTTGAGATGCTATATATGAAATTTTACTTAATAGTATGCCCTCTCTTATCCCCACGTTTGAAACCATTCGTGCAAAGCTTTGTGTGATTTTTAGGATGTAGAATATGCATCAACGTCAAATAACTCGCAACCATTACTCAGTGCCAAAGAGGCGCTATCACTTTGGGTTCTCGGTGCCAGAAAGGTAATTTTGCACACACAACTGCACGAAGAGAGGGGTGTCATCTTTCGGTTACATAGTTATTTTTGGTGCATTCATATTTATCAGTTTAATCAACAGTAATGAAAAAGTTAAAGTAGCCTGAGATTCTGATCATGTTATCTATCATACACATCAGAGATGTAACGGATATTAAGGCTTTCGCGAATGCGAATATCTACTGCGGATATGCGCATTATACGAATATTGTTTTTTGTGTTTATACATCACGCCAAAACATAAAGAAGACTGCAAAGGTTTCACTTTTGAAGTTTCATATTCCTTTAGTTGAGCTTGATTATTGAATTGCTATTTAAAAAGTAAGACAAATCAAATAAGTATCTATTTTGTAAAAAACATTCCAACAAAAAAAAAATAACACAACTGATACATCTTGTTTTACTTGAGTAGGTAATATTTTCTCTTTTGATATTTCGCGAATGCGCATATCAAAAAACAGGCAAATATTCGCAATTGCGGATACTCGTTACACCACTAATAAAGATACATATGCTGTTTATAAAAAAGTTCATTAATATAGATCACATGGACGGACAATGTTGTTAATGCCCTTTGCAGGTGGGCGATGCTATTAATACTCTGATTTGAGCGGGTTTGCTCAATGACGATAACGATAACCAGGATAAAGTAATATTAAAACATACTTCGCTTTTATAAAGTTCGGCAATGTGCTCAACGTTTGAAAAGATCTGTTGTTAGTTGTAGTTTCTACATCAGTTTCAACGCTGACTTGTACTTTATCGCGATTGACCGCAGTTTGACCGCCAATGATTAACGTCGAGCTTGTATTATGTTTTCATCAACATTGCCCACCTAGAATCGACATTGTCGCCATTGACCAGCCAACAACGATATTACCCAGTTTCTCGTCTTCGTTATGAAAATTTTACTTGATAACTATGTAACCGATAAGGTTCATCTTTTTTGCCTTTCCTGCACCATTTATTGATTGTTAGGTAGAAAAATTTAGCAGCATGACGTTTATCGTGTTGTTTTTTGATCGGTTTGGTATTTTAGTTAGAGAAATGAAAGCTTATATTTTCATATAGTTTTGGGATAGAGTATGGAGTATATAGTCTAGCATGGGTCGCGCAGGCACCGGTTATATCTTTATTAATTTCAGTAACATTTCAATAGTCGAGATGTCATTCATTTAAAAATATGTACCTACGATATTTTTAGCCAATTTGACTGTACCCCTTTTTCTCACTTGTCATAAAATATGCGATAATGAGTATGAACGCTTTAGAATACATTGCTTTATAAAGGTGCTTACTCTACTGGTATTAACTTCCTTACCCCTTTGCGGTCAGGCTCTTCTTATTAAGAAATCGTTCATTTTGTATTATAGATATATTGAATTAGTACTAGTGAATTTAAAATGACCTTTCGAATCTCATACAGTATGTTATTACCAGTAATACACAGTCGGTCATCACAGTCTAGTATAAATGGCAACAATGGCTGGCTAATGAAGAAAGAGATTCAACCTGTAACGTGCTTCCCTATTTCCCGATTTGCCCAATTATATAGATGAGATGGCACTTGGAACATCATTGGTATCCATGAATTTTTTGAATTGATCCGTTCAAAAAATCAAACGGGAGGGGGACATTAAAGAAAAGCACTGTATATGGTAAAAATTAAGGTTCCTATTATTTTTAATTTGAAAGCAGTCCCATTATTTGAGGGAATTCAGCAAATCAACCATTGCAAATTGAATATTACCATCAGCGTATCACTATGCTGTTGCTGATATGAAGCCTAAATCATAGGTAAGCAGTGATTATCGTGGCAACAACTGAATATCATAAAAGCAAAGTATATTGACTGAGAATTGATGGTCATACCAGAAGATCAGTAAGCCGCAAAGGGTTAATATCTGAAGATATCAGGTTGAGAACTTGTGGCTGCCTCTAGATACTATATATCGCTAAATGTCATATTAAAAAAAAAAAAAAAAAATCTGTAAAAAAATGTTACGTGCCATGATTAACCTACTTTTCTTCAGGCAATGTATCGACAACTGATGGAAGCTAAAAACAAGAATAAAATCGATCCCGAAGTGACGCTGCAGTTCCTCAAATCGGCTGTCTACTACTTTTTGACAGATAAAGAAAATAGTCAGGGACATTTGAGGGCGATTCAAAGCATACTAGGATTTTCACAAAGCGAGATTTCAAATATTGACAAAGCTAGGCTTGGCTAGTTTGTTTTTTCGCTGAGGGTAACAGTTGAGTCCTAAGGTCAGAACCTATCATATGGAGCTGTGAAGACATAGTGACAGTACTGAATAAAATCTTGCTCAATGTGACCATACAAACAATTATTTCCATAGAGGCCTGACAAGAGAAAAAGTAATATCTGAAGCATTGAATTTTCGAAACGTTAAAATAAGGTTATGGGCCCAGGTAGCTTTATACCACAATTTGATGGTTACACTGAGTAAGACTAAATTTTTTGTACTGCCTTTTTAACATATAGCATACTTACTTTGGTTTGTATTTTTCGCGATATTTAAATAGTGCCTGTAAGATCCAATCATACAGTATCAATGGTAATAGAATTATTATGTATATCGCCATTTCAATGGGCTAGAATTTGCGAAGTATTATTGATACCAAAAATAATGTTAAACCTGAAGTAGGTAGAGGGACACGTCAAAGTAACTGTGATAAAAGAAAGTGATTATTGTCAGCAATATATATTTTCGATCCTTATTTTTCCTAACAAAAAAAGTGAAAATTCGCACTAGACTCATTTTTGAAAATTTATTATATACAAGGTTTACACGTGATCAAAATCCGTCTTTTAAAATTTGAGATAAATGTTCAAAGGTTGTATATACTGCCCTCTACTTTATTTCAGAAAAAATGAGAATACTTGTTCTAAAGATTTTATATTTACATAGAAGGCTACTATTGCATATAGTTAGGTAGACATTTCAATAACATATATATTTTTGAGGGTAATATAATTTAGTGAGGCAGCTTGAAGCACTTCATTATATACTGGAAAAACTATGATCCTTAAATTCACAAATATGTTTGGTTAAGTATTTTTATAAACACATTTTACTTTATAGTGTTGTACCTGTATGTAAACAAAAACGATTTTTGTTTATGTTTTACCATTTAGCTGTACTATTTTTGAGATTATATGTATGAATAAATACGAAAAACGATTGTTTATCAATTTATTCTGATAAAATTTTACCTATTGCCTATTCTGCATTGTTCTACAAATTACACGATAATGTTAAGATGAGCTGAAGTTCCAATGTTGCATAAAAATCATATAATCATATTATGAATTGACAATCTGAATAGCATTTTCTATATCTATAAACTTTAAAAAGTACACGTCAACAAATGAAAAATATCACTATAATGATTGTGTTTTAACAATGTAAGATTTTCATAATATAATAATTTTATAATGTATAAAGCTATATGAAAAAATGAAATTTCATGATATTACCTCTATTACGTATTTGGAAGTCAGGTTGTTTCATAATAAACTAAATGAACAAAATTACATTTAATACTTTGCAACTAGACTGCTACATAATATCAATCTGGTTTGCCGATAAAACATTTAGTTTGAATTACACATTTATCAAAATTGAAAGTCGATTCATGTTTTATCTAAATAAACACATATAAGGAATATGAGTTTTTTTGATATTTTCTGCAGATTTTTTACGGTAGTACCGTAAATACATATCTCATCCATGGAAATATCTGTATTACTTCCCACGGCTGCAGTGTGTTTTTTAAATATTTAAAAGTGCAATGCTAATGATTTAAGCCCCGCATTTTTTCGCGCGCTCCGCAGTGACGTCACAACTCATGGTTTGTCATTTTATTCTACGTCTGCTTAATGTGCTGTCAAGTTTTAAAAGGTTCTATTTTTCCTCCCCACATTTTATCGGCGCTGTATTCTTTGATCTGAACAAATTGATAAGTTGACAATCAATGACAGGGACAAATGATTGGCTGCTCAATTGCTGATATCGTGACATCACGCCAATTGCGTTGCGATCCGATATTTAAATTTTTTTATTATTTAATACTCGTAATTTTATAGCACATAAGTATGAAATAAGGTGGAAGGTTGCTTTCTGTAACAATACAGACTGTAAAAAAAATAAATACCCAATATAGTAGCGACTCGATAATCCGAATTCTATAATCCGGATGTTCCAATAATTCGGCCTCTGTAATCCCGATTGTCATGTTTTGCTAGTCCGGATCAGATATTAAGTTCTTAAAAAGTTCAATCTTGTTAAATATCACACCATAAACGACGCGACCGGGACGTAAGTAAAGTAGAACCTTTCCACGGCTCAGTCATTCAACAACAAACTCCATGGTCCCTACACGAAAACATAACTTTGTCGATCGAAAAGAAGGCTGAATATGGAGTGGGAACATCCACCATATCAGATATTAAGAAAAACATAGGCAAGATAGATGCATAATAGTTATACAATTTTGAAAAAAATGTTTATATATTTAATGCATTTAATATTTTAGTTTTATGAAGAAATGCATTTCCGATCCAGGTTGCACAAAAACTTTACGGTCTGCTGAACATCTTGAAATGGAAAAGAAACTTTACGGGTGGTTTCTGCAACAGCATGATCGGCACATACCAGTAAGCTACGATATTCTAGCAGAAAAAGCAAAATATTATTTTTTTTAAATGTTACAATAAAGATACATTTGAAGCAAGCAGGGGTTGGCTTTTGAAATTCAACACACGTCATGGACTCAGGCATCTTCAAATATGCGGCGAAAAACTCTCTAACGATAACTCTGCTGTTAAACCTTTTATACAAAAGGTAACTCGGATCATAAAAGAAAATGGGCTATCTTTAAGCCAAAGCTATAACGCTGCTCAGTCCGGTTTGTTTTGGAAATTGATACCGTAACCAACATTAATCTACTTAAAGGAAACAGCTCCAGGTCGAAAAACAAGTAAGGAGAGAATAACTTTTATGGCGTGTACAATTGGAAATGGTTCGCACAAATTGAAACTTTTATTAATCGGCAATTCTAGAAATCCAAGCTCTTTTAAAAACAGAGGCACGAGTTTACCGGTGGAGTATACGTCTAGTAAAAATGCTTGGATGACTTCTTATTTATTTAGAGAATGGTTTCATAAATCATTTTGCAAGCAAGTTTTGGAATTCTTGAAAAAAGAAGACATTCCACGAAAAAGCTTTACTTCTCATTGATAACACACCTAGCCACTGCAGTTTAAAGGGATTGGATTCTGAAGATGGTAAAATAATCACGAATGTTTTTACCGCCCAACTGCACCGCGTTGATTCAGCCATTAGACCAAAATGCGATAAGATTAACCAACTTATTTTATAGAAAAAGTTTATTGGCTCACATTGTCCGTACTATGGAGCAAGAAAACAATGAGCTTAGTAAATCTTTAAGAAACTTCAATCTAAAAGACACAGTTTGCATATTACATAACGCATGGACAATAGTGTCAATTGCTTTAGAACAGTGTTGGAAAAAGTTGTTAGCTGAAAACTTAGATTATGACCTGGAAGATTTAATACCCATTAAGCTTATTGCGCATACAAATAAAGCAGCAAATGGAGACTATTGAGGACAACACTGATAGAAAATACATCATTTCAAAAATTTACAGAAGGGGAAATTTTGGAGTGGGTGGAAGAAACTGAAGAACATACTCTTCAAGACATATTTCAAGATGACTATTCTGAAAATTCACTGAGTGACGTAGAAACACAAAATGGAAACCAATTTACTGTTCCAAAAGTTAAACATGAAGAGGCAATCGCGCATTTTACAGCAGGGATTAAATGAGCAGAAGACAACAATATTTCACTTACCTCAATCCTTGACTTAAAAGACGTTATTTGCTTATTTTAGCTATGTAGATAATTTATGTTTCAGTTTTTCTGAAATAAACATGTTTGTAATATCAAGAACTTATTTTCCTCATGATTGCCACTAATCTGGATTTTTCCTTAGTCCATATTGCACCTGGTTTTAATTGATCCGGATTATCGAGTCGCTACTGTATTTGAATCACATGCATATTCCCTATTGTGTATCATAAAGAATTTATCTGCTATAGCATACAGCAGCAAATTTCATGAGAAAGTTAGTTATTTTGTTTTGTGTTTAGTGGTACAGTGTAGTATCACAATATCAGTATTTACTGTGTTCTGCATCATCAGTATTTACTGATCAATCAGTATCCTATTTTTTACTTAACCCCTTGGCTAAATGATCAACAAATATCACACTTCATCATAAGGTTTCCACTAGGTCAAACAAAAATGCAATAGTACTTCTTTCTCTATAGCACCTTTTGAAAATACAACCTCTTCACATAAATGCTTTCAACAAATTATCCATTCAATAAAACCTTACATTGCCATCCACAATGCCAAGAAAAAGGATCAAACCTATATTTACAAACTGCTCCATCATTTACTGAACCTGCTTCTCCAATTCATGAATTTGCAACAGCAAATCATTCTTTCTCTTGACCTTAGCCAATTGTTCCGGTTCTGGTTTCATTATGGTACCATTTTTCAACTTCTCTTCAAGAGACTCTACCTCTCTAAGACGTTTTTTTAGATTTTTGAGCTTCTTTTGTGGATCAGTAGCAGTGTCTGCAGACTTTGAGGTATCTGCTGAGGTTTGGACAGGTTTCACAGGCATCTTTGGCTCATTTTTTTGAGCTGGTTTGCTGCTTAGCTTCACATTTTCTAGTTGATTAGTCACATCTTCCACTTCTGAAAGCAAAAATAATAATAATTAGGGTTCTATACAGGAGAGTACTTTTGACTACTAGTACAATTCTTGAATTTTGTGAAACGTTACATTGGTGATGAATGCCATTCTCCATGAGGATGCCCAAATGTATTCTGGCATTCTTTTAAAGTTTACATTGTCAGAACCATATTGGAAACAAATAAACAAACTCCATTTTCCTATGAAAGAAAATTTATTCTTGAGCATCTTATCAACATTACAAGGAATTGCCCCTCAACCTCCCTTAAATGATTCCCGAGATCTCATATTCTCAGTGTTTCCCAATGATAAAAAGACAATTCTGCAGCAACAGTTCAAAAGGTGACAACATTGACTCCTAAGGATGGCATTCAATACCTAGGTACTTATATAGTTAAAAACCTATAACAAAAAAATGTCTAGCTTCTAAGCACAATTGTTGCCATGAGGGACTGTGAAGTCTTAATCTCTACAATTTTCTTGTTTTAGGAGAAATGTATCCATATACTGTATATTCACCCATATTCCACATATGATGTAACATTCAACATATTTCTTCCATTAGTCACATACTATAAAACCTCTAGGATTACCTAGTAATGCTGTGAAATTCAGTCTTTAGTTATAGAATAGAATTTTGAGATTACGAAACAGTTTTTGCTAGCCATGACTTAAAAAACCTGCTGCTTCCCGTAAGGCCACATGTTGAAATTATCATAGAGAATGTTTACAAGTAGCTGCAGTCTCTGAACTGTAGATGTTTGACTGGATGAATAACTTACTTTTTTTCTGCTTCTTCTTTGATTGATTTTTCTTCTCATTGTCGTTTTCGATGATGAACAGCCCTGGAATAGGCCTATGTGCAACTTGTCCCGTTGATAACTTGACGGGTTCCTGCTTTTTGCTCATGAACTGTTTGCCCTTGCTTTCGTACAGCGGTACTTCCTCTTGTGGAACGTACCCGTCTTTGACTCTCCTTGCTTTTCTCCACGTACCGTCTGGACGTTGTGAAGCAGGAATAAACTGCTCGCCTACAATTAGAAGAAAACATGAATGTGTTTATAGTATGTTTGTGAAAGTACGTACCATTTTCGGTAACAATATTCGTAGAATATGCGGACATGTCTACGTTTACACTTGTTTATTACATTTGTTAGTTTACAAACAACCTAAATACACCTAAAATCTAAAATGTTCCATTATCCTCATCCCAAAAATTAGACATTTGTGTTTATTTGACAAATCAGAGGTTGGAAAATGACAGTGTCAATATTTTGACGTTGACATGATGAAGCGTTGCATAGAACAATGAACAAGTAAGATGCACGCAAATGGGATGGAGGAGATAAGGTATGCAAAATCATTGTCGCCACCAGACAGGAAATAAATCAAGTAGTGGGTACGTTTACAGCGTTATTTTATCTCGATCTAATGCACGAGCATAGGCCTATTGGCCTACACGCTCCATTTATGTACGCTTTACGCTTGAAACATGCTTGTCCTCCATTTTGTACCTTGGAATTCACAATAGGTATAAAATACTTTAATTAGCGCACGCTTTACGCTTTTCATTATTATATATTTTCTTGATGATGTCATAATTATTCTGTCATAGCTTCATGAACAATCATTTTTGAAAAAGTATATACCTACTGACTTGAAGTAGTGAATAAAAAAGCATCTGAGATCTGTGAGGTTGTTTTGTACGGTAAATATTTAGGTATGTAACTATTTTCTTGGATAGAATATACCTACTTCATTTATTATACAAAAGCAAATATCAAACATAATATGAACGTAATTAATTACTGTAGGTAGTTGGAAGTTAAAACATATCGTTTGCAAATAATATAATATGAACGCTTTCACGATAATACATTGCAAGGCAAAAGTTGTGGTAATGTTGAGGACAAAATGTGCCATAAAATAATGGGTAATTTTTCAAGTGTCTCAAATCAGTGACTGTTCTCATTTATCTCCAGGAACATTGAGAATTTCAGAACTTTGCAAAGACACATAAATACGCATCTTTGCCTTGATTCAACAGACTTTCGATTCCGAGGGTTGAATTTGATTCACCCTGTACGTTGTAGAAATGGTGAATGCCTTATTTATATGTCGCATTAAGCTATACAAAAATGGTGGGAGTGTCATGCTAATTTACTTTTAATCCTCTTGGTTATTGCATGACACCCCAAAAGTACGTTCGCATATAATGTATACAAGCTAGTAAAGATATAAAACGTTTCATAAAGTTATCTCCTGTAAATATTCTAATATTTTTTAAAGTTAGTTTCATTCTCTTGGGCATATACCGCTATATCTAATCAGAATGCAAACTCTTGTTATAACAAATAACATTTATTATTAGGAAACATTAAAAATACAAAACATAAAAAAGCTATCTTCAGCCATCAACAAAATCTATCACTTCGCATATCGTTGTCCAACAACATGTCTTACGCCCCATTTAAAGTTAGCATTCCTGTCAGTCTTTACAAAAGTGTGTACAGGTCCAACAACTCCTACTGGTGCTACCTGTTGCCTTTTGTTTCTGTCAACTTCCTCGTTTCCGCGATCGTGGTCATCTTGAATTCGGCCATTATCTCCATTATTCCATGCTAAAATAACAAATAATTCATAAATCTAATACACTCATATATTATTATATTGGTAGTAGCAGAATGAGGATAGATAAGAATTTCCTATATTCAGAATAGTACATTACGCGTACCTTGGTGGAGAAGTAGGTATGCCGTTATTAGGCGAGTACTTTTATTTATTCTGCCAGGAAAATAATGACGACTTTCTCCACCGAGGTATTTATAGAATTTGTTTCACTTCTAACAATGACATATTACCAAATTAAGTTTGATTAGAATTTAAAATATAGCATAATATCTGAGAATATGTTGAACATCCGGCAACACTGTCCAAATAAAGCTCACGAGATGTCTACGTGACAGAACGGTGAAGGGATGCATCTACAGCTTTACAGTGAAAACCAAATTTGTCTGACGGTTTGAATTCAGTGTGTACGAGAGAGAAGCGCGACTAGTGTGTATCCACACATGCTAGAAAGAGATAGAAGCAAGGCAACGTGATGATGAGCTTCGCAATGCAGCCGGTTCCTATCTCTTTCTAACATATGTGTCTATACACACTTCTGTCTCTTGTATATTGAACTCAAGCCGTCAGACAAATTTGGTTCTCAGTGTATGACAGAGTCCGACAAAGATAGAAGATGCTACGTACGTCGATGCTTTCCACTAATTTTCAAATACTCCAATTTATTAAGGAGCTTGACATAAATACATTAAACTGATTCCTGTTATAAATTAGGAAACCATAATTGTTGGTAATATCCAAGAATAGTCAAAGAGCTTAATATCAGTGACAATTACTCTGTGCCCAACAAGCCAAAGAAGCTCTACATGAACCCACACATTCACTATTCATGTATCTAGGGATATTTCCAGAATCATTATTTACCTACGGGGAGAAATGTGTCTTCTTAAGGGAATGAATAAAATATTGGCAATATATTTTATACGCGCATTGAGTATAATAGTAAACATATTTTCTTTATGTTTTGAAAACGATTCTCCTGTCTCCTTAGAGCAAACTAGTACCATATTGTGCAGCTTGACAACAATGCAAAAATGGGTGCCCCAGAAATAATAAATAAATAAGAATATGTTATGCAATTCACATACTGACAGTTTTCGATAACGTACCTCTTCCATGGCACGAGTCTAGTAGACATGTTACGAATATAAGACATATCATCAGGTCAATCTGCAAAGAAAAAATCGAATAATCGGAAATTTATAACAGGTGGCTTTTTTGAGTTTATGCCCATAGTTGAGTGCGAAAAGGCGTACATATCATTACTGTGTTATTATTTGCTATACCGGGTATTTCAAATTCGACTCTCACCATTGGAGTCTCGGAAAGAGATACGCAGTCGCTTAAATTAGTGCAAAGATGGGTAACAAGAAAAATCGCACTTAGACAGATTTGCAATTTCGAGTATTTGCGGCAAGGGTCGGAAAAAACAGAATTTTCCCAAAATCGTCTTTATTTTCTTCCTAACTTTATCTAAGATGGGATTTCAAAACAAAAACCCCCCTAGCATTGCCACTTTTTCTCCTCTACAAGATGGCACATTTGAAATTTCAATAAACGTTTTGTTTCTTGTCATGATGTCATGATTTGTACAATATCACGTTATTAAAATCGGAAATAGGGACTGTTCACATGTGCCTAGTTCATAAAAACTGAAGAAATGCTCAGTTGATGATATTATGAAACAAATGACTGTCTGATAATATCAAAGTCTACTTAGGAAATTCTGTTTTTTTAATAACTAGGGTTTTTCAAAGTCAATATATGACATTATTATACCTTTTAAGAATCAGAACTTTTTAAGCTGCAAGCACATGTGTATAAGTATAAATTGTTATTTTTATATCAGAAAAATCTAGATATATGTAGATATAGGTAACACCGATTTAAATTGTGTACTTACGATTCCGTAAAATCTCATTTTGCGGCATGTGAACGCTGAGTAGTTTCAATAAACACTGGACCAATTTCAAACCAGGAAATTCTTTTATAGTGCAGCGCCAACTGTGGTAAAAAAAAATCGAGAAAGCCCTAATTTGCGTGTGACTATAGAAAGTCTGTTTGCTCTTTTATGTGCTTCATTGATAATTTGGAAATGGTTGACTAGATAGACTGTAACAAAATTATAATATAATTTGTGAATGAACCGTGAATAAGTGAAGCGTATGATGGTCTAGATTGGCTGTTACCTAAGCAGAGAAAAATAAATAATTTAAGCAATACATTTACTATACATCAAATAAGTAAGAATGTTTAGTTATTGTAGTATATGTATCTACATTATTTTGAAAAAAACTCCACATGAATCCTTGGCATTCACAATTAATACCTCACTATTTTAAATAATCGTTCTAACAGTTTTCAAGCTCTAAAGTTCTAATTTGCATTTTTTTGCATATCTATAGTTTCGAAAAAAAAATATTTTTTGGATATATCGGGTGTGTAGATTACAAATCTTAGTTTTAACGGCATCTTAAATAGGGCTTCCCTACACTTTAGAATATTTTGAAGGTCATATTAGAAATTAGCATCCCAAATTATCCCAGGGTACTGAGCTTGGTTTCCTTGTGGCAACGGCAGACATGATGGAAATTTTGTATTTGGGAATTTTAGAAGCTTAAAGATAAAGCATCAATGTAAATCTCCAAAAATTCTTGATTTTCTGCAGTCTTGACAGAAATCCGCTTCTTGGATAAATCGGGTAGGTAGATCACGAATCACGAGTGTTTTCTGAAACGTGCAAGAGGCCACAGAAGGCTAATTTTTCTATCAAAAATAGACATTCCCAAAACTTTTTTGTTTGTATCTGAAATCAGCGTCCCAAATTACCTCAGTACACTAACAATTTTACATTTTACATTTGAGTAATCTTAGAAGTTTGACTAATTATTGCATATCTACAATCTTGAACAAAACCCATTAACCAAAATAGCGCTTGGCGTCGCCTTAAACTTTTTTCATGGTCATATTGTAGCTACGAGAAACGAAAATTAAAATTTTGCATTAGAAACTGAAGAAAATTAAAGGCCAGCTACTAGGATATATTCAAAATCTCTTGAAAGGTCAAGTCATAAAAGTTATCCGAGGAATATAAAAAAGTCGTGTCCTTTTCAAATTATAGATTTAAGAAATCGGAAAAATCTACACCCTGTGGTGATCTTCTAGTTCGCATTACTACAAATTTCAATTTTTTCTCAGACGGATTGACGAACAGTTTTACCCTATGTAGTGACAGCAAGACAGGTAGTAACGTCACTTTTATTAATTCATGAATGTAATTATTAAATTCACATAAAATGTTCAAACTGTCTTCCTTCAGCAGCAATGCAAGCTTGACATCATCTTTAAAATGTTTAAAACGATACTGTGATCTATCTGGTCCCATCAAACGTGGATTCTCTACATGCCACTCATGTAAGTGGTGTAAATTCATGTAACCATCTTCTTTAAATATCGACTCATCAGTGCTTACATCTCATGATTCAAGTCTAGCAAAGTAATATTTTTTACATTAAGAGACAGCAATATATTTATGATTAGACTATAGGTATGTTACATGTACGCTTACATTGGAAATATACATTTATGAGATTTGCTTAGCGGTGCGCCTGTAGCCTGTCCAGAAAATGTGTCGATCGATGCTTAAAGTCAATACCACACGTCCCGCATTTCTTCCCGCGTATGTTTCTATTTATGTTGCTATATTGGAATTCGTTTAAGTCACAGAGCTTCTGCAGTACACGTGAATATGTACAAACATACATTATCAAAATAATTACGATCTAACATATATAGTTTTTTCCAAAGATTTCCAACCTTTTCACATGCGATCAACATCGATTCGAAAACTGAGAAAGCAACAACTATGCCGTAAATCCAAGTTCGACAACGAAAGTCTGAAGAATAACTGTAACATCTATATTGAATTTAAAAAAATAATTGACTATATCTATTGATATTTTTGTCACCTGCTGATATAATAGAAGTGCTTGATTGTGCCAGTATTTACACCAATTACTTGATTTGTTTAACGGGTAGTTCAAAGTATTAATCCTCAAGCTTAGTACACACTAGTAGACCCTGTTGCGCAATTTGTCTATATATATTTTTTTTCAAGTTGGCATTGAACAGATAGAACACAATGGGTTTAAAGAGCAATAATAGGATAAATTCTAGAAGTTTCGCTGAGGTAGAAAAATTACCAGCTACAAAGATCCTTTGGCCCCCCTCTGGACGAAATCCTGAACTTAAATATATATCATTTTCTTGGAAAAGATGGCTGATTTTTACATCAAGGGGGGGGACCCTCCCTCTTAATCCGCCCGCCCTTGCGGTTAGTTCTTGAATCCAAATCAAGGTAGCGTTAATAAAATCGTCTAAATGGCAACGTCGCCCCACCGTCGCGGCGCCAAAACCTCCAGGCGTCGGTTGGCCGAGTCTCGTTCAAACAAAATCGATTCCATTACAATTGCCGGCTTTTATCAAGATTGCGCCCATTGTTTTACGACCGCAGCTATTTATAGTCTTGCGTGGTTTGTTCTCCAGGTGTCTTCCCGACCCTTATCCAGAAAATCCAGACGCGATGGCTGACGACGGCGATCTGGCGATGAACCTTGAGTTCTGGATGACCAACCTGCCGCAGAAGTTGAAATCGGTGCCTGTGATACATCTGGCTATACCAGGTGGGTAAGATAATTACGTATAGTAGATATGTGATTACATGTTGTTCATTTAGGTCAGACAGTTTGACGATGAGTGTATGACATAATTCTTTATTCTAATTGAAGTAGTATTTCGTATAAGAGATCTTTCTTTCGAACGGTTTTACTGAATAGGCAATCCATTTTTTATGACTTGTCGAATATGTTCAGAGTGTCTTTAATTTTTCGCTGAGATCAACAGAAGATCGCAAATGTCTTATCTTCTGCCTTAAATAGGGCATCGCGATAATTTAGTATTTTTATGGCCATATTTGAAATCAGCGTCTCACATGTGCTTATATTAAGGGAGCAAACAGGGATATGTCCGGCACGGGTATTATGTAAAAAACCTATAACACGGCAAAAAAATCTATAAAATATCATCTTGCAAACTATTTATTTTTTAGGATGCAAACCTTTGCTCACTAAGATCATCTATGGAGAAATGACTCAACTACGCGCATTGTTGGTTGCCTAGGTTCTGTGAAGCCGAATAGTCTGTTGCTTTCATCTTTGAGAAGAAAGTTGCTTGAATAGCAAGATCGCTATTGTTATAAAATCATTACTGAATATGCCTCTAATGAAGTATATCTATTAGCTGTGCCTGACGGGTTATTTATATATTGTCCTTTCTGAAGACAAAGTTATAAATTACGATTTTTGATGTTTTTTGGGTTTTCAAAAACTTCGAGGAGAATTATGGGAAATCACCACGGCGCCCGCCTTGTGTGTAATTACTGTTAGCATTCTCTCATTTTTTAATTTCAGCAAATTTGTATATGTGATTTCCAGGATGGATAAGAAAAAGTAGATGCGCAACTAATTTATAATAATAATAATAATATACGTCTTTATTTATCCACAATTACATTGTACCTATAGCCAAATGTCAGACTTATATGACGAAGTTTAGCATGCTGCTACTCTTAAACTTAACCATATAGTCTCTAGCAGATGTTCAAAAGAATACACTATCCACAAACAGATTTGGTTCATAACATCGAAAGTAAAATTTAAAAAAAGAGAAAAAGGCATACTTTCCAAACCCAAATGCACCAAAAAATTATTAATCTCAATTAAAGATGGAATGAAAAAGAAAAGAATGATTACGTAAATTATATGTTTAGAGGGTTGAGTAATAATGTTTTAACTTTTTGTCGAAAGACAGGTAATGAAAATTCTTTATATACTTTAGGAAGGTCATTATAAATAATAGCAACATTGTAAGAAAAACTACGTTTAAAAAGTGTAGACTTATGCAGGGGTATTCTAATATTATTTTCTCTGGGAGTTCTACAGTGCACATCATTATTAAATGAATTTTTTCCTTCAAGTAATAAGGTTTAGACGTGAGCAGCAATTTGTGAACAAAAACTAAATAGTGATACTTGACCATGTCATTAATTTTTAACCAGCTTAGAACGGGATATTTCGCTGATACATGATCAAATTTACGTAAGCCAAAAATGAATCGTATACAATTGTTTTGAATAACTTGAATAACGTTTGTAGTGAAATTGTCTAAACAAGTAGAGCATACGATATTACAATAATTTAGTATAGATATGACCAATGCTTCACATAGTTTTTTACGCAACTTAAAATTTAGTAAATACCTGTTTGCTATAAGAGTGCGCAGCCGTAGGTACGTTTTCTGAGATAGACTTCTAACATGTTCAATAAACCTTAATTTTGTATCAAAAACAACACCAAGAATTTTTGCAGAATGAGAAAATTGCAAAATTTGGTTATTTATCTGAATGTTCAAAAGCTGTGTTACATTGTATGTTTTTCTTTGTGCGCAAAATAATAACATTTTAGATTTTTGAGGATTAATAAGTAGATTGTGATCTAAAGAGTATTTAATTAATTTATTAATCGTTTTGTAAAATTTGAGTAGTATTATTGACACTATCTGGGTTAAAATAATGGAGCAATTGCGTATCGTCTGCAAATGACTGGACATGAGAATTATCAATACTTTTGCTTAAGTCGAACGTATATATAAGGAACAGAAGCGGCCCCAATACAGAGCCCTGAGGTACGCCTGCGGGAATTATTGTCACTTGAGACATTTCTTGATTGAGAAAAACACACTGAGTTCTTTGATGAAGGTAACTGTCGAAAAATGAAAGGGATACACTGTCAAGACCTATGTAATTTAATTTAGCAAGTAATAATTTATGATTTATGCTGTCAAAGGCTTTCGAATAGTCTATAGAGATTAAGGCTAGTGCCATTTTTTTTATCTAAGGCACTTACAATATTGTCTTGCAGATTAAGTAGGGCAGATGTACTATAATTTTTTCTAAAACCGGATTGAGTGTCGGGAAGTATAAAGAATTTTTCTAGGTAAGCGGTCAATTGGAACTTTATAATTTTTTCTAAAAGTTTGGATAAAATTGGCAATAAACTGATAGGTCTGAGATCATTATGCTCAGTGGGTTTCATTTTTTAGGAATTGGAGTAATTAGAGCTTGTTTCCATGTGTTTGGAAAGTAGCCTTTTTCCAAACAGTCGTTAAAGATGTGGACGATGTGATGGAGAATAACTGGCTTTGAATCTCAAGTAACTGTATTTGAGGCAAGAATCCAATCGAAAATGGAATTATCATCAACACATACTATTAGCATACAAATCCTCACTATGCACCATGCATTGCCGTTTCCTTTAAGCTATAGTATTTGTATACAACTTACAGTTTAGACCTCCAGTAATGCCATCTCTAAAGCAGATTTCACATCACATCAGAGCCAGACATTAATAACTGAAGCCTCATGACGTTTAGGCAACACGTACAACTACAAAACGAGTTCACAACGTGTCCATCAGCTAGTGCTAAGTTAACATTATATAGAAAAACATACATAATGTCACAGAAAACCAACACAATGTAAAAAAAATCAACATAATGTAACTTTTCAAGATAGGTAGTACCAGTGCCGCATGTGGAGTAAGAGAGTAGACCTTTTTTTGACAAGGAGTAGCGAGTGCGTTTATTACTTTCCACGCCCGCTGGTGAAGAAGTATTCTAATCGAAAATGTAATATTTTGTTTTTTTGGTTGTTATATGACATGTATACATCACGGAAAACCATGTCACTCATTTCTGTTGGTCTGCAAGTTCGCTAATCATTGGCCGGTTTATAACTTGTAAAGTACGGGCCGGATTTTGATGAAATTCCCACACAAGGTTACTACTAAGCCAGGAACAAAAGAGCTTTGTAGTTTTTGAAAATCGGTGCAGATTTTCCGGTACATTTGCACTTGAAACAAAAATACTTGCAGACGCGCCTGTCTCTGTCGCATGTGGGGGTCTCCTTCCTTCGTTAGCCTACATGACGCAGCTTTTACTTTCCAAAACATCCCTGCATAGAAATCATTTTTCCTTCCAACGCTTTAAACACCTATCAGCTCTACTTTAAACTGGTTGACTGGGCCTGTAAGCCCAATCTGCCCCCCTCCCCCCTGTAAATTCTGCTACATGAATGCCCATGGCGTCCCATATTACCTTGATGCATCAATTTCCGTTCCTTGGGGACTACAATGGATATTTAGTATTGAGAGAGCTCAAAGTGGAATTAAAAAAAATGCATATCCGCAATCTTAACGAAGACCCAGTTGTTGATGAATTAATCGGATACGTAGGTTATGAATCGGGCGTCAGTTTTTTCGTGACACATTAGTTTTTTTATGGCCTCATTCGAAATCGGCGTTCCACATTACCCTCGTGAGAGATTTTAAAAAATTCTTGCGAATCCGAATTCTCGACTCAAACCTGTCTCTTGTGTAAATTGTAGATCACGAATCTGAAGCCAGCTTTGCACTGAAATGATGGGATATCCCAAAACTCCCTTTTTCTCATTTTAAACAGGGCTTTGCAGCAATTTGACATTTTTAGTTGTCATATTTGAATCGGTCCGCGCTTTTTTTACTGAAAACGCTACATTAAAGGTAGAGACGTATTCTGGGTATACACATCGTAAATCATAACATTCCTTCACCTTCAAATAGCTCCACTTAATATACGTTCAGTGCAAAAACAATGCAAGTTCGGGACTAACGTGGTTTTTGTACGCTGCGCTGGACGGTGCTTGAAAGGGTCATTTCAAACACATTATCAGTATCCCTGTATTGTTTTATTTTTATATGTATGCACCACAATATTAATTTTAAATTCAAGAGCTACAAAAATAAGATTACATACCTTATCTGCTTTGCCCGAAAGCACTTGTTTTAGCGTTTTCTCGCAATTAATTTTTTTTTGTTCAAAAAATAAATTTTGATGTCTGGTAGTGGAGCACGTGGGTTTTTCTACAACTGATTGGCGATTAATGAAGAAAGTTGAACCAATAAGTCTATGTATTTTTGGTGCTGTTGCGTCTTGTAGAACTTCCGATTTCACTGTTTTTTCGCTTAAAACTTTTAGAGGGTAGTCTGATAGATTATTTAGAAAGTGTGGATGAAGCACGCTTTTCGTGAAAAAAATTACCCAAAACATTGTATTTTTAGCTGTTCTTCTAGGGAAAAATATGAAAAGTTGAAAATTTATATATATATATATATATAATATTTATATGTATATTAATTAATGAATCACAAAAACGAAAAACTGAAACAAACAACAGTATCAAAATAAAAGGCGATTCCTAATAAGTATAAATAAAAAAATAACAGTAGTAAGCTAAAAAATGATAAATTATAAATAATTCTAAAAAACAAAAATAAAAACAGTAGTAAAACAAAAAGTAATTCCATGTAATTATAAAAATCAGAAAATAACAAACAGCAGTAAAACAAAAAGCAATTCTAAGTGATTATAAAAAACAAAAAATAAAAACAGTGGTAAAACAAAAAAAACAAATCTATGTTGAATAAAAAGCAATTCTAAGTGAAAACACAGAACAAAAAGTAAAAGTAGTAGTAAAACGAAGAATAATTTCATTCCATCCAAATTGCTTTTTATTTTTACTGTTTGTTATTTTTTGTTTTCTTTTTTATAATTAAATGGAATTGTTTTTTGTTTTACTGCTATTTTAATTTCTTGCTTTTTATAATCACTTCGAATTGCTTTTTATTTCACTGCTGTTTGTTATTTTTTGTTGTAAACTTAGTAAGAATCACTTTTAATTTTACTACTGTTGTTTGTTTCAGTTTTTTGTTTTTGTGTTTCATTAATATATATATAATTTTCCACTCTGCATATTTTTCCCTAAATACGGAGCCCAATCCAGCAACACCGCAGGCAAGCGCCTCTCATATATGACATATTCACAATCGTTAGCGTCATATGGTAAATGGCGGTGGATATAATGGGGGAAATAACTGCTAAAAAATACAGTGTTTTAGGGAAAACAATTCATGAAAAGCGTGCTTCATCCACACTTTTTATGATGTAAAATAATTTATCAGACTACCCTCTATTAGTTTCAAGTGAAAAAACAGTGAAATCCGAAGTTCTACAAGACTCAACAGTACCGTATATTTTCTCGATGGTCGATTCATGGTTTAGATGTAAAACGGAAAATTTGATGTTCGTTTTGCACGGGTTTCTATTATGTACCTTAAAAATACTAAAATATGCAACATCAAAACATGTGACTTGATAATATTTCAGTGAAATTTTGAGCAGTAAAATAAAAATTTGATCAATATGATTCTTTTGCTCAAGTTTCTTTGTTTGTTTAAGATTCATTTAGCATGATTGCTACAATTACATTCTTCTAAAAACTAAACAATTACATAACATACAGACATTCAGAAAAAAAAAACAAAATTAGCATCTCTAGGAATTTTCATTGTCCATGAAATATTCCTTTAATTTGCTTTTAAATATCTTTAAATCACAAGTAGACTTTATATCATTATTTAGTTTATTAAATTCAAGTAATCCTTTCTGAAATATTGATTTGGTGTATCTACTTTTGTAGTTTCATATGTGCATTCATTTCGGGCCTGATGAAGCCAACCAGCAGAAATACGTATCGCTCGGGTTACCTATCCTATTTTCTGCTCGAATCCACTTTCCTCCTGTTTGCGGATTTTGCCCATTATTTTCCTACTTGTTATATATATATATATATATATATATATATATATATATATATATATATATATATCCTCTTGTATAAGAATTGTGGTAATGATTATTCAATATATACATCACTAAACCTATTTCCTGCTAAATCAACGCCCATAACAGTCTTCCGGGCTTTTTGCATTAGTATTATTGATGAACTGTGGAGGTTATTCAAAATTGCAACCTCTTAGAACTCAAGTACTGCATTAACTCCAAAAAAGTACTGTAAAACTGCCACTAAATTATGGGACTTCAAGGTTTTTGCACTGACCGATTCATTTGAAATCAAGGTTTCAAAAGTTGTAGCAGCGGGAAGACAAGACTGTAGATTCACATTGAGAAACTCCTTTGGATCTTCTAGGTTCTCATGACAGTTTCACCTCGAGCATAACGATGAAATCCAGAATAGCTCCTGATGCAGACAACATAATCAAAAAGATGTCCTGGTTAGGTCCTCTGCTCAAATATTTTATGGTTAATTGGTCCAGGACGCAGAGTCTTTCAGCGATGGAGCAATTAGAAAAAGGCATACGTTACTTTGATCTACGTATAGCTACCAAAAGGAATACCAACGATCTGTACATAGTCCATGGATTGTATGCCGATAAGGTTCAGAATGTTTTGGATACTATTGTCAGTTTTCTGGAGAGCCATCCTCAAGAGGTTTGTATTTTAGAATTCAATAAACAGTGCTGTTTCCGTATTCTGTTTTGGAGGAAGGGTAAAACTATTGAAGAAGAGGGCGATACGGCCAAGCGGAGTTTCCTCAAAGTTAGCCTTAGACCGCCAATACAATCTACATGATACATCTATAAAACACATACAAATCCGAAGCTGTTGGCTGACATTAAGATAGCCGAGGAATTGTCTATAGATAAGGGAAAAAAATTGCATTCGTGGGATAAATAATCACGTATTTTGGGTTCCCCCCTCCCTCCAACATGAATTAAGAGGTAACTGTATAGATTTGTTTAAGCAATGTTTTAAAGGAATTGCAAGGGATTTTTTCGCTCTGGATGAATTTTTTTTTGATTATTCTGAAAAAGAATCTTTAGTTCCTCTCACCAGCGGATCCAGAGGGATTTTTTTTTAGGACGGACAAGGAAAATGAAATGCTTGGATTTGTGACCATGTGTTAGTGAGAAATCATTTTATTGCAAACGCGAATATAAACACTCAAATCAATCAGGAAATCTTTACGACATTCTTTCCGATGTAACCTCAATGTCATAATTTACATTGAGAAGAGCTAACCCGTCTGTTCTGAAGCATTTTACTTCTGTGCCAACTTTTGCCTCGACGAAAAAAAGGCCGTATCGTCAGTCCTTCCTACAATTGTAGGACGCCTTTATAGCGTCCTTGATATTCATAGTCTTTTCTCTCGTTCGGAGAGGCTGGGGTATTTCTAGGTTTCTACTGTTCGGTGTCAGCGTCAGCGCACTGCTATTGTGAGGCTATGCTTTCTTGTTGTTTACTGTATGAAATTTCAGGCTATATAACAGATGATATAAATCAAAAGCATGAACAATTTGATGCAAATGAATATTTGTAACATAACCTCAAAATAGAGCGCAACTATGAAAATCAAGGAGGCCATAAAGGCGTCCTACAATAATTGTAGAAACGACTGATTGTATCTATGATAATGCGCACTTTATAATATCCAGAGGTAATACAAACTTTTATTATATTACAGATCGTCATTCTCGATTGCCAGCATTTCTACGCTTTCGAACATTCAGACCACGAAAGATTGATGCAGATGTTCAATAAAACATTCGGTACGAAGCTATTGCCGTACTCTGATCACATAGAATACGTTACATTGGAATATATGATCCTCCAGTATAGATACCAGGTATTCACAGTATTAGTGACTTCTTGTCTACGGTTTTTCGGTCGAGAGCTTCTTGTCCGTTCCGTGGCGGATGACCTAACCAATAGGGATTATGCATGTGATTCAAATATCGCTTAATTATTTTTATTTACAGTCTATATTGCTACAAAATGACGCCTTCAAACTTAGTTTATGCATGAGCGCTATAAACTTACGAGTATTATTACATGAAACACAACTTATATACAGGGGACTTTGAAGTTGAGTCATTAATTTTCAGATAATGATTGTAGAAGGAAGATAAACTAAAATATGTGTGTAAAAATATAAAAAAAATGTTACGTTGTTTTATAAAGTATCCTCCCGACAAGTATTTCAGTGCGGACCTGTGTTTGATCGTGCGGTCTTGGAGGTCTTAAGTCATCTGATTCACGAGCCCTTTGTACTACATTAACAAAGGCACGAGGGGTTGGTTGCACTCGACTGGGAAACCGATTCGCATAAATCCGTGATGCCGCGTCAGCATTTTGTAAAGACTCCATTTTCGTAACCATGTGCCATTTTTTATTTCGTTTGAGCGACGCAACAAACACCACTATTCACTCACGCGTTACCGACTGACACATTGACTGAATGCAACTGAATAAAATTGTAGTAAAAACATCGTGATAAACGTTTCAAATTCATTCGCTTCTTTGTTTCCGATGCGATGAACCGATAAGGCGGATTATATCCGTTGTTGCCAAACACGAGTACATAATATTATTATTGAGACAGGGCGGTACTCAAACTTCTAAACGGCTATGACTTTGTTACTTTAATTTTACCAGAAAAATGTTAAAGGTAAAAACATTTCTTTTGATCAGATCTACTCACTGTTAAAATAAATGACTTCGAAGTCACCCTGTATACGAAAACCATATTGCAAAATTCTCTGTATCTGACACAGACCGATCAATACGAAATTGAACATATCATAAAGCGACTGAAAGTTAAAAAATCAACGGGATTTGATAATATAACCACATACACTCTGAAACAAATAAATTATAAAATTTCTAAAGTATTAGCATATCTTATAAATACCTGCATGGAAGGAAGAATATTCCCGACCCAATTAAAAAAGGCAATAATAAAACCTGTATTTAAATCTGGAGATAAACAGAAACCTTGTAATTATCGCCCAATTTCAATATTGACAAACTTTTCAAAAATTTTCGAAAAAATTCTTCGCTTTTTAGACTTTATTGCAAAATACAACCTCATATCAGATATGCAATATGGATTCCAGGAAGCAAAATCAAGTCAAGATGTACTTATTCAGTTATCAACCAAAATTAACAAGTACGTTGATAATAATAAGTCAACAGCATGCCTGTTTGTAGACCTAACCAAAGCATTCGATAGTATTACACATCAAAAATTATCAAGAACCTTAGGATTTAGGATTTCGTGAAAAGTTGTTTGGAAAACAGGTCACAATCTGTGAACATCAACAGTACACTGAGTGAAAATATTATTGTTAGATGCGGAGTTCCACAAGGAACCGTATTAGGACCAATGCTGTTTAATTTATATATTAATGACCTTTTTAAGTTAAAAAACGATGGAGAAATTATTGGTTTCGCAGACGATACGGCAATTATTTACTCAGACAAAGATATTTCAGCAGTTTTTTAAGCGAAAAATATCTACACATGATATATCATGCCCTTGTTCAATCATTACTATCTTACGGAATCTTAGCATGGGGGGGGGGAGTCATGAATAATTATTATAACAAGATTGAAATTACGCAAAAGTGGATTTTTAAAGTTATGTTGAACAAAAAGAAATGTTACCAGTCAGAAAATCTTTACAATGAATCTCAGCTTTTCGACAGCCGACAAATTTATTTTTATCATACAATAATATATTTAACAAAAAATCCAAAATTGTTACTTTCTATAAGCCACAACCATCAAACGCGATTCAAAGAAACCTCTGCACTAATTCCTAGATTTAATAAAACTATCAGCCAAAGATCATTCTATTTTCTATGCTCAAAATTTTATAATGTTATTTCTGCAAACCTTAAACATATAAAATGTATGAAACGTTTAAAAATTGGATTAAAATCATGGATCCTAAATCAACCAAGGCTACAAATCCATAAGTTTGTTGACACTAAAAACCTATATGTTATTTAATCATAAAATGATGCATATTTATACATTTGACTATTATACTTAAAGAAAATTTGTTGTATTAATATAACTCAACTTCGGTTAAAACCCAAGCACAAGTGTACACTTTTTTGGGTATATTATGCTTATTGGACATTCCCGTTATTATTTATACGAAAACTTTGTAATTGGACCAATAAACATTATTATTATTATTATTAATAAAAAATGGAAACATACGCGGTAAACTCAAAATGTCGATACGCGTGATGTCCGATTCACAAGGGTAGGTGTTTATTCTCACTGTCATTGATTGACAACCAGTCAGTTTGATGTTCTAGCTTTTGAAATTTGTCGTAGTGGACATAGCATACAGTGTGTCCCAGATTCACTTCTCTACACAGGTATCTCGGCTCCTGTTACACCTACAGCAAATGTTGATGCGGAAAGTTTTAGAGGAAACTTAGTGCCTTCGATAGCCGGATTCAGATTTACGATCTGTTAATTGGTTTTGGAAATATCGGCGAAAAAAAAAGTCGAATTTTGTTTTTTTGCCAGTAAATCCGAAACGACTAATTTGACAGCTGTCAAAATGTGACATTATTCGGACATTTTTTTAAGGTAAATAAAATAGCGTGTATGACGTCTCAATCGTCTTTTATTTTTCCGCAACCTGCCTCAACTTTCATTTTTCTTATGGCTGCCATATTGGATTATTCGATTTTAGAAAAGAGCGTAAAATTTCCAGCCTACCGATGTTTCACAAGTGCATAATGTTATGTATTATTTTTTTCCTAAGGAGGCCATGATTTATTTGTCAGAAAATAAAATTAATAAGTAACGCATTTTTTTCATCTAAGGAGGCTCTGACTTTGACGTTAAATAATTCAAAGTAATAAAATTGTGTTTTAATAAGTAGTACGTACGTTTTTTCTCATTAAAATCATAAATCTGACAAATGACTGTCAAAACCTGTTGAAAATGGCCGGTATTTCCTAGTCAAATGAAGAAAAGTTTGATATGTTCGCCGACATTACCTCAGCAGGGTACTTGGAGATGTACCCGGCAAGGTTATCATGTAAAAAACTTATAAAACGTCAAAAAAACCTATAAGATGTCATTTTGTAAACTAGGTAGTTTTTAGGGCGCAAATAGCCATTCCACGTTTGCTCACTAGGATCGTTGTGAACGTCCATCTAAGGAGGAATCACTCAACTAAACTAATCGCATTAATGGTTGCATATGTTTTGTGAGGCCAAATGGTCCTTGTCTGTAGTTTTTATCTGTGAGATGAAAGATGGTTGAATAGCAAGATCGCATCTGGAAGATTTGTGTGTATTGGTCTGAATGTGTATAAAGTCAGTGATATTAATTTGCTGTGTGAGAAAATCATTACTGTATATGCTGCCAATGAAGTATATCTGTGGGCTGTGCCCGACGGGTTATTTTTATGTTGTGATTTCTGAAGAGAGGTTATGTTCAAAGTTATAAATTACGAAAAACTGAGGAGAATTACGGGAAATTATCACCGCGCCCGCGTTATGTGGATTTACTGTTTGCATGTATATGGCTTGTAATTCGACAGTGTACAGTGGATATAATTATTTATTATCTCTCTCATTTCAGCAAATTTGTATATTTAATTTCCTGAATAAGAAAAAGTGGATGCGCAACTAACTTCTAGCTTTGAATCTCAATTAAGTGTATTTGAGACAAGAACCCAATGTAATTATCATCAACACATACAACTTACAGCTTAGACCTCCAGTAATGCCATCTCAGAAGCAGATTTTACATCACATCTGATCCAAAGATTGATAACAAGCCTCATGACGTTCAGGCAACACGTACAACTAAGTGCTAAGATAACATCTTGTAGAAAAACCTACATAATGTCAAAAAAAAAACAGCATAATGTCACAAAAAGAATGAGGTCTATGAATTTGATCCTTCCGCGACCATAGAAATCTTGAGTCTTGAGTCAAAGAATTTTGAGCACAGTTAGTATAACAGAGTCGAGACCCCTGTATAGAGAAGTGAATCGGAGACACACTGTATACAGGGAAAACCAAATTTGTCTGACGGCTTGAGTTCAATGTGTACGAATGAGAAGTGTGTCTAGACACATATGTTAGACGGAGATAGAAGCCGGATGGATAGGACAGCTCATCACCGCGTTGCCTAGTAATGGTGACGCGACACTCTGCCGCGTTGCCAACATGTTACATCGTTCCTTGAATTAAGATTCACGTTGAAAATATGCGTTAGTTTATTCTCCACGCTCAAATCATAGTTTTATTTTGACCGTACACATTTTGGAATTGTGTATGTACGATTGTAAATATATGTCAAGTTTCTCAGCATCACGTATGAACCGCAATACAGAAAGAAAAAAATGTGTACACATCCCAACGTGTCCTGCATGATAGCAAGCAAAGCAAATTCTAAACAACCAATAACATCCTGTGAGAGATAAAAAAAAAACACGAAAGACCCGCCTACAAGCCATACACCTAGCAGAGCGTCCTTAGACGATAATCGTATTGGTTGAGCAATCAGCGTCAAAAATTTTTTGTGGGACTATTTCTGATTACTGATAAGAGCGTTCCAACGAGTTTTTCTGTTTTGCGGGCAGAAAGAAACTCTTCGATTAGTATTGGTGTTAGTATTTTTCTCATTTATTTGCATTTTGCAAACAATAATCTTATTGGTTACAAATTATCCATTTCTGTGTGGCTAATTCTTTCTGTTGATAAGACTGAAAAAAATTAGATTGAACTCATCGATTTTTATTTCGAGCAAAAAATCTGTTGCACCTATTTAGTGTTGCAAAAACACGATTATGACTTTTTGTTATACAACAGGCATGAACTGACAAACCGATATAAATGAGAAAGACGGACGGATTCTAAGAATGAGCCGCTGAAAATGTCACGTGAAAACACATAGAAAAATATTAAAATGCTTATAATCTACTTTTTGATATTTCTAAATAAAGTACAGGGTGGCCAATATATAACTGACTAACTTAAATTGTGCGCCATTTTTGATACACGCATTTCAGTAGTGGTTTGAAGCACGTGTGTCCAATTCATCATGGAGCGCTACAGGACCCCACAACGCGTCCGTATTGTTAAAACGTTTTAGATAAATAATGAGTCGATTGTTGCAACGATTCGGAAGCTACGATAAGATTTGTCGAAATAATTCTTCAGTTGGTGCGGAAATTTAAACAAATCGGTAGTTAAAGACTTGCCAAGGTCGGGCCGTGTTCGAACTGTTCGTACTCCGGAAAATATCGAGAGAGTTCGTGAAAGTGTAGTGGAGCGCCCTGAGACGTCTACCAGACATCGTTCTCAAGAATTGGGTATTCGTAGCACGTCATTATAACCCAAGAACTACAGTCTAGTGACTATGAAAGTCGCCGACAATACAGTATTGCAGTATTGCAGCTTAATACCCAAAATAACGATTTTTACCGACAATTGATAATGAGCGATGAAGCCCACGTGATGAACGGATTTGTTAATAAGCAGAATTGTAGTATCTGGGCATTTGAGAACCCTCGTGTCATCCATCAACGACTACTACATCCTCATCGAGTCACAGTTTGGTACAGTGTTTGGTATGGAGGTGTGACTGGTTCTTACTTCTTTAAAGACGCTGCAGGTAATTCTCTTATTATCACTGGCGAGCGCTACCGTGATCGAATCCAACAATTTAACCTGTAAAACATGTGGTTCCAGCAAGACGGAGCAATTTGTCACACAGCTACGGAAACAATGAATCTTTTGGGAACAATATTTCCTGGATGTTTACTTTCTAGATTTGGTGATGTCAACTGGCCACCAAGGTCACCGGATTTAAGGGCTCCTGACTTTTTTATGGGGATTTTTGAAAAATAGGGTTTATCCAACAAACTAAATACAGCTGAAGAACAATATTACCGAAGCGATTGAAAATATTCCTCCTGAAACCTACCAAAAAATGATCTAATCAAGAGAGCTCAGGTTTCTAGAGGCCTACATTTGTCTGATATTATTTTTCATACATAGTTTCTGAGTTTCAATAAAGGATTAAGATGAAAAAATGGACGTATTTTATTTCATTTCAAAAATATTCAAGATACAAACCAGTCAGTTACATATCGGCTACCCTGTATTTGGTACATACCATATTGAATTGATCAGTGACATATTTCAGGTTATAGCAGTATACAGATCGGATGCAGCAAGGTTCGGCCAACCGATGTTTTGGCCAAGCTGCAGTTTCCCAAATCCATGGCCTAATACTGTCTCAACAACGAAGTTGTTCGCAGTTTTGGATTATGGTTTGAAGAATAGAAAACCGAACAACTCATATATATCCCAGTGTATTTTAACACCGAGCTACGGGTTTATCATAACACATCTATTTAGTAAGTACCTTGCATCATATAAACGTGAATTTGAAGTTTTTTTGCACAAAGTTGCGGTTGATGATCAGTTTCTACCGATTCATAATGTCATCACTGAAGACCACGGGTATCATGTAAAAAACCTATAAAACGTAAAAAAAACCTATAAGATGTCAACTTACAGACTAGGTAGTTTTTAGGGCGCAAACAGTCATTCCACGTTTGCTCACTAGGATCGTTGTGAACGTCCATCTAAGGAGGAATCACCCAACTAAACTATACGCATTATTGGTTGCATATGTTTCGTGAGGCCAAATGTCTGTAGTTTTTATCTGTGAGAAGAAAGATGGTTGAATAGCAAGATCCCATCTGGATGATTATGTGTATTGGTCTGTATGTGTATAAAATCAGTGACATTTGCTGTGTGAGAAAATTACTGAATATGCCGAATATGACGGGTTATTTATATGTTGTGCTTTCTGAAGAGTGGTTATGTTCAAAGTTATAAATTACGAAAAACTGAGGAGAATTACGGGAAATCATCACCGCGCTCGCGTTGTGTGTAATTACTGTTAGCATGTAGGTATATGGCTTGTAATTCGACAGTGTACAGTGAATATAATTATTTCTTATCTCTCTCATTTTTGAAATTCAGCAAATTTGTATATGTAATTTCCAGAATGGATAATTAAGTGTATTTGAGACAAGAACCCAATGTAATTATCATCAACGCATACAACTTACAGCTTAGACCTCCAGTAATGCCATCTCGGAAGCAGATTTACATCACATCAGAGCCAAAGATTGATAACAAGCCTCCTGACGTTTAGGCAATACGTACAACTAAGTGCTGAATTAACATCTTGTAGAATAACCTACATAATGTCAAAAAAAACAGCATAATGTCAAAAAAATCTGCATAATGTCTCTTTTCAAGATACGTGATATCCGTGCGGATTATATGCATTTGCATATTAAGTATATTTTGGTTGTTGCATATTTCAACAAAAATCAAGAGGCTTTGCATATTTTTGCTCTTATTACAACTTTTTCGGCATGTTATCTCGATAATGAATTGAATTTTACGTTGCAGCTAGACAAATTTATGGATCTCACGCTTTTTCGTCAGTCGATAAGGTTCCCAATAAAAATTTTGGTATATGAGACGTTCGAGTGAATTCGCGCCTAAATTTTATATGCGAATATGCTTCCAATAAACGTCCAGTCTAAACCGCCGCGCATCAAGGCCAAGTAGGCCACTGACGATCCCCGACACCACCCATTTCCCTTATTTACTTGTCAGTATCAAAAAGTTTAAAACTGAAGGTTTGACGTTGACTGAGTCTATTCAATTAATTAAAAAAATCCGGCAAATGAACTCCGCATTGCCAGACGCATTCTCGTCTAAGTTTAAATATAAGTTTGAAAGCATTTTAAACAATAACCCAGGCTTTGGAACTTTATGCCAAATTTAGAGTTTTATTAATGGTACTGGTGACGTTCTCCAGTCACCTCCGTGGATGCGCAGCGGTCTTTTTCGACCTATAATATTTTGAGTGATCGAAGGCACCGTTTTACCGAAGCGCGCTGATCATTTGGAACAATACCTTAATGTTTGTGTTTACAAAAATAACATGTTAAATAGTAATCTCATAGATAAGTCATTCAAGTGCTTTAAAATAAAAAGTATGAAAATCATTGTTTTATTGTCATTTAATTTTGATAGTTTCATGCATATTTTAACCATTTTCATGTATATTTCAAACTTTCATGTTGCTTATAATCCGATCTCTAGTCATCACGTTCTAAGCCTGCTGGTCGGACTCGCTAGGATTCTGATTGCCGTTCTAAGTCGGCGAAATCCTATCGATCGAAAACTGCCCGACATGACAGAATTTTTCAATCTATGGCATCAAAAATGGAACATCTGGACATTCTTCCAGATGAGAGCTTTCCCATTTCTACTCATTTTATTTTGTCGCTGTAACTCCTAAAACTGATCCATAGTTCTTTTCACGGTTTTTGGCAGTTACGTCACAATGAAAGACGAAATAGGCCCACATAACTAATGGTACCATGTGCGTAGCTTAACTTCTGTGGGAAAGTTGACTTTTCAAATTTGAATTACGCGGCAACCGTATAAGCGAGGAAGTGGGGAGAGGTCTTGACAGTGTTGCCATACGTAGCGGAATTCCGCTATTTATAGCGGATTATTTTGAGAAGAGCGGCGTAGCGGCGGTAGATCAAATTAGCCCAAAATGTAGCGGAATTTATTACATACAAAACTATCATATTTATTTCACTGTTTTAACGTTAATAACGTTCTAAATCCTAAATAGGCAGTGGCTAGAGTCTGATTTGTTATCACATTAATAACAAAATTGGTGCATTTGGTGCCGCTTGAGCCATCTAGGAACAGAGAAGAGAATTATTCCACTTGCCTTTTTTTCAATAACAGATGGCGTACGTACTGCTTTCAATACTAATCGTTTCTAACAGGTCTCAGCAAGCAGACATAATATTAGGTTTCTCGCTTTGTATTGTATTTTTCAGCTCTGGGTATATACTGTTTAGTTTCGTTTATATTAGTGTTCTTATTTTTGTGTTGATCATTTTATTGATATATCATTTGCTGCAGATTTTAATATTAAATCTACTGGTAAGTAACAAAACTGCTTAAATATCTAACATATTATAGTTTGATCCAGAAATAAATCTTAGTCCCGAAATTTGTTTTTAACGCTTTTTCTTCTGGAAAATAGGAATAATGGAAACAAACGGTGAAACCAAACGTGGCCGTACCATCCACTTTGAATGCATCTGTGTCGGACTTAGAGCATCCCGAACCTGAATACAGACAAAATAGAAGAGCGGAATCTAGTGGAATCAGGTCTGAGCCTGATAATTCGACTTGCGAATCTCAGGATAACCAAGAGCCAGAGCAACCTGTTAAGAAAAAGACACGAAAACAAATGTTTACTTCATCATGGCTAGAAGATCCGTTATTTAAAGGCTGGTTGGGACCTATTGAAAATGACAAGTTGAAAGCAAAATGTAAAGCTTGTAATCAAATAATGGGTGCTAAAAAATCAGATTTAGTGAATCACTCGAAATCAAAAAGGCATGCCACTAATGTACAAGTAATTTCGAATGTAAGAACGTTAGATAGCACTTTTCAGTCTCGGGAAGCACGTGAGTTGGAAAAACGGCAAATATTTGCTTGCTTAAGATATAGTCTTTTAGTTGTAAGCCATTATATAAGTTTTAGAACTGTTGATCATATAACAGGAGTTAGTCAATTATGTTTTAAAGACCCAGATCTCTCTAGCTCACTTAAATTAAAAAGATCCAAATGCATAAGTATGATTAAACATGTGCTGGCTCCTGTTATTAAAGACGAAATAATTTCAGAATTGGAAAATAAACCATTTGCTATTTTATTGGATGAGAGTACAGACCTGAGCAATACAAGACTACTATGCATTCTTGTAAGGTATATTCATAAAAATTCAATTAAAATCCATTTATTAGATATAATTAAAATAAACGCAGATGAAGGTACCGCCAAAGGTTTATATTCTCTTTTTAAAAAATGCGTTATATACAATCAAGTAAAAATTACCAATATTGTTGGATACTGTTCCGACAACGCTAGTGTTATGATGGGCAATAACGAATCTTTCAAAACTTATCTTTTGAAAGATAATCCTAATATAATTGTTAATGGTTGCATTTGCCACTCTGCTCATTTAGTGGCGGTGGCGGCAGCTGAAAAGATTCCAAGCAACGTTGAAGCTCTTTTACAAAACTTATATTCTTACTTCTCAAGAAGCCCAAAAAGGCAGTGTGTTCTTGAAGAATTACAGGAATATTTCAAAAAGTCAAAATTAAAAATTTTAAGCCCTAGTAAAACAAGGTGGCTTGCTTTATCCAAATGTGTTGATAGAGTTTTGGATCAGTGGGACATCTTGCTTAGCCTATTTAGATTAGCTTCCATTGAAGACAAAAATCCTGTAGCAAATGTAATACTTAATGAGTTACAGAATTCATTTGTTAAGGCGTATTTAATGTTTTTTAAATTCGTGTTGCCCATTTTTAACCAATTTAACGCTCTCTTTCAATCAGAGAAAGTTATGCTCAATATCATATCAATAGAGAGTGAGCGATTTGTACGTCATCTATGTACAAACTTTATGCGACCAGAATATTTTAAAAATGAGAAATTATATAATCTAAATCCTAATGATCCCCACTGCTTATTACCAATTGAGCAAGTGAATGTTGGTCCGCATACAATGGATGCAATAAAACACTGCAATAACACGGCAATCGAACAATTTAAATTAAAATGTGTTACATCTTACCAAAAATCGGTAGAAGAGTCCCTTAAAAGATTTCCTATCAAAGACAACTTCTTTTCAGAGCTAAAGTTTCTCTCACAGGTTGATGTGATGAACAATCGTCTTATTATAAGTGATACCTTTAATGACGCCGTTTTAAAAAAATTTGCCCTTCATATTGAAACCGAAAAGGCAATTTTGGAACTAAAGAAAATATGTATTTATTTTAGTGATAGTGAGAAAGAGGGAATTTCAAAAACAAAAAGTAATGTCATTGAATTTTGGTCATTTGTAAACTGGCTCTAATCATTTTAATATTGCCTCATGGAAACGCTGATGTTGAGCGAACTTTTTCTTATATGCTTGATTACAAAACAAAAAAAAAAGAAATAAAATATTAACATCAACTTTGTCTGCACTACTTACAATTAAATTAGACTTGGAATAAAAAAAACAGTGCTGTTTATCCTATAGTTTTAATGAGAATCATTTAAACAAATATAAAAAGAATTTATATAATGTAAATAAGGAAGAACAAGCTGAAGAAGAAGTAATTTCTGATTCTGACTGTGAATAAAATAAGCAAACGTAGGCATTTCCACGTTTCCGCTTCTTCTTTGTCCTTATTTTTTGTTTTTTTTTTCTATTAAGATTAAGATATTGGTGCTAGTTTCTATTTTTTTATTACATCCTAATTCTAAACCAAAGACAGTTTTGTTTTTTTAGAGGTATACTTTTTATGTTTTTACGAAAAATTGCAATTATATTATGTTACTGTTTGTATTTTTAGTAGGGTTTTTAGACAGTGTTTAAAAAAAGTAAATATGTAAAAAATATATTTGTTGTTTATTTTAAGCCTCCCCCCCCTTAAATTTTTAGACCGTAGCGGCATGTAGCGGAATTTTGCGATACGTGTGACGGATATTTTAAACTTCGCTCTGGCAACACTGGCGTCTTGATCGACGCGTTCGGCGTGCGGGTTAAATAGTCACAATGGAACGTTGGACCGGAGCGCAACGTGCTTTTGCTATCGAGGCTTACTTCAAGAGTGGTGATTCATACGCAGCTGCCCTTCAGAAGTTTTGTACACGATACGACAATCGCCGACCAAGAGATGCTCCAAATAAGAACCTATTTAAAAAGTGGATTAAGAGGTTCCGTGAAACAGGCTCTACTCTTAGTCAACCCATTCCTGGCTCCACACCTACTGTATCAACAGAAGAAAATGTGCCTCGAGTAAGTGATTCGGTCATTGCAAGTCCTCTGCGTTCTGTACGGAAGTATTTCGCTGCTTTGGGAATCCCCAGGTCAACACTGCAAGGCATAATGGAGAAAAAAAAAGTGTTCATCCTTACAAAATCCAATCAGTCTATGCTTTAAAGTTAAAGGAAAGTGATTACGTATTACGGAAATCTTGTGATGAACGGATGTTGAACCTTTTTCCTACGTTGTTTTCAGTGACGAGACTCATCTGCACTTAGACAAAATTGCAGATATTGGGCACCAACGATCCCAAAAAAGAAACATCAACAACACCTACACAGTCCAAAGGTTACTATTTGGTGTGCCATATCCTCTAGCAGTCTTATTCGTCGGTATTTTTTCGAAGATCAAAACGGTAATGCATTGATAGTCGAGTCCGAGCGATACAACGACGTGATTGATACTTTTTTTTGCTCCTATTGTAAGAACAAAACGTCGATTTAATAGAAAGACATGGTTCCAACAGGATACGGCCACTGACATACTCCCAGAAAATCGATGGATACGGTGAAAGCTCTTTTTCCTCAAAAAGTTATATCGAAGTTTGAAGACATTCACTGGCCTCCTAGGTGACCCGACCTCACGCCATGCGATTATTTTTTGTGGAGTTATCTGAAGTCAAAAGTGTATTCCAATAATCCACGAACACTGGATGAGCTTAAAGACAACATTCGACGAGAAATAAGCAACATCACTCTGCAAGAGTGTTTCAGAATTCAGAATTTCAGAACATTTGGACGGAATGATATTTAAGAAATAAGACCCGCCGAATTCACGGAAATGTTGATAGTTATAAATATTTTCCTTAAGTTTGTATTTTTTTCTCTTGAATCAAAAAGTGAACCTTTCCACTAGCCTACATGGGCGTCGCCTCGCTCACTTTCATTCCGCCCTTGGGAGGGGGAGGGGTGTGCTTAAGCAGCACTTCTGAAAATGAATGCTTTCATCGCGAATGGAGAGGAGCGGGGAGAGTTCATCTAGTCTGGGCAATAAATGAAGTCACAGATCATGGACATAATTTTATCGATTTTAGGATATGATCTCCGGATCTTTCAAACTATTATGTATCCATCGAAGAAAGAGACCAAACCTAAACATATTCACGTATACTCCACGTGATCGCGCTCCAGAACGCCGAGCACGTTACAGGGCCGTACTAAGAATAAATGATTTGTGATTCTACCACATGATCAAAAAGTATGCAAAATTATTGCAGGCATGTATGGGGTCCAAACGTAAAGCTTAGAATTAATGTATTTTTTTACTTTAACTGTCATGACCAAAAAGAAAACAACTGTCTATTGTTGTTTTTAGTAGAAGTGTTTTATCAAGAAATTATACTCGAAATGTGTCGTAAGGCGCATTTATAAAGCAGGCTTTTAAAAAATGTGTTGATACATTAAAACGATAATTGCATATGCGTACAAGTATACCTAACCACTGCTTGACCAGGGACGTCAGTGTGCAAACAGTTAATTTTAATATTAGACTAAAAAATGAATAGTTAGGTGGAGTTGAAAGTTGAAAGAAAAAGGATTTGAATACATGATAATATGTATATACTAAATATTATACAAAAATTTATTGCACAGACATTTTACCTCTAAAAGCGGAAATACATATATTTGAAAATGAAAATCATTCTAAATCTGAGGCCGTGGAACTCCCACTGTCATCAAGATTTATGATTGAAGGGGCAACGTGAGTCTAATTCCCACAGTTTAGGTTCGACCTTTTCTTTAACATGCTGATACATTTTCCCACTTATTCGATGTTATTCTTTGTATAGCATCATGAAAAATATTTTTAAGGTCAGAAAATTTAAAACATTTATTTTCTGCTACAACAAATTTTTTTATGTCTGCCCAAATGAGCTCAATCGGATTGAGCTCACAATGGTAAAAGCAGTTTTATTTTATTTTTTGGCCATTTCATCAATATGTTCTGGTTATATTTATTTTTATACATCTTGACCATTTGTAACAATTCTGCCTTAACCGTTGTATCATCATAATCAATCTTTTTATTTTTAAGCCATCCTTGAATTTCTGATTTTTTGTTGACGTTGTTGGAATTTTCTCTAATTTTCTCGTGTGGAATGAAGCATTTTCTAATACTATAACCGAATTATCTTTAAGCTTCGATAGATTATTTGAGAACCAATTTTCGAACGAGGCTCCATCCAATTCTTCATGGTAGTCTCCCGTTTCTTTGGATTCAAATACCCATAAAGCATCGGACACAATTCTGTCTTCATTACCAATGGGGCAAATTATCCATCGCTTACATTTTCCTAAAAATAATTCACTTTGGACACTTTAAAACCGTTCGTATTGAAAGCATTAAACACCCAACAAAATGATTGCTAGATTTCTAATCTCGATATAGTTTAAGCATGTACAAAAACACAAATAAAATATAATTTTAGTTGCAATTCCTTGTCTTACAAGTATTGAAAAATATGTAGGTGTCAGCGTTGCAAACAATGTCCTGAACACTTGAGTCACTCCTTCCTTGCATTTCGTATTTATAAAAGTTGATAATTATTTGTTTTTCGCTAACGCTAAAATGAAGACTTTTAGCTCTTATTTTAGGCGGTGTGCAGCTTATATCAACAACTTCATCAGCTGTATCCGTATCAGACATTATGAGTTCTACGAAATTAAACTGACAAATCTACTAAGCACACAGTAATACCAGTATAAATCTGATGCCAACTCTGTACTGTACGGCCAGCCACCGGGACAGCCGGCATGCAATATCCTATGTCTCCTACTCCACCCTCTGGTTTGTCATTGGTGTTGTGTAAGGGCTCGACATATTCTGGCCAATAACAGTTAACAGTTGTGCTCACTCTCTCTTGAAATATATCACTGAACTGATCACGCAATAATCACTGTTTTGGTTTATTCCCTCTCTTCGATACATACATAATACACCCCTCTTCGTTTCAGGTACATTGAAGCAAAAATGCGCGACAGACTTCGAAAAACAAAAGTTGGACTGGATCGATCACCAGAAACCCGGTGAGACGGGCATGAACGTCGTGATAACTGATTTCGTGGAATTATCCGATTGCAAATACGTGAAGGATGTCATCAACTTGAACGAACTATTGCTGAATATGAAAAGTTCCGATACAGTGGTCACGACTCTGGATGAGTACGCAAAATGAATATCTGGAGAGATGTGGAATGGTTCGTTCATCGGAAGAAACTGATTATGACGTCATATTGTAAATGATTGCTCATCTCGAACAACTGGTCTTGTCACTTTACATCAACGAATTCGGACCAGGTAGAAGGAGCAAGCTTATGATTTGTTGGTTACCAAAATTACGTGGTTAGTAGTGAGGGTGCAAGTCGATCATGCTTAATCTGCCAGTTTGACAGTTGTTGACGTTTCATACTAAATTCCTACTTGCCGGCGAAAACATAAAAGTGCGTGGGCTCAATACAATTCTAGCATTTCAGGCAGTTACCGAAAAACTTCAGTAACTTTCAGCAAGCATTTCAACGGTGACCTTGACCTTCACCTTCAAGGTGCGTTTATGGTCGACTTCGTTTTTTCAAATAGAAACCGTTATTGTTGATGCCGTCAGTCGAAAGAACAGAAAACTCTACGTTCAGACACAATCAATGTCCAAGGTCAGGATCACTACTAAAGGTCAAATGAAGACCAAATGTGTGCTGCTAGGTAAACCTCTATAAATTTCACAGGATGAGTGAGATTTCCGATCCGGGACTTTTGTGTCACGCTGTATATTTTAGTCAACGGCGTGATTTTGATTTATTTCATTTCACTTCTTGTTTCGGTGAACACTCAGTCCCAACCTTAGGTTTTTTAACAAAATTGTATGTAACAACAATGAAAAAACTAAATAGACAAACAAGATTTTTTGATGGATACTGACAAGGGTCGACTGAAACGTTAACTAAACTAAATTGAAATTTGACTTCAGATACTTCAATTTTGAATCTAAAAGGGATAATTTTACGATCTCATTTGCTCTCAAAAAAATTGTGAATATCAAATTCATTAAAATAATTTCAAATAATTTAATCGGATAAATATAGTGACAATGATATATCAGGAATGTCCATATTATGCTCAACTAGGTATTTGCCTTTAGCCAGAATCTGCTCGTACTATTTAAAGAAAACGAGTAGAATTCATACAAGTTATACTATACAGAGTGTTTCAGTTTATTGTTGCATAACTTTAAGATTCGATAGAACTTTTAAAATTAATGCATAAAGTCTATATAAACATGGGTCGAAAAATGCGTGGCTTCTGAAATACGGGGTGTTTAAATTTACTTTCTAAAATAGTTTTTTCTATGAAAATTGGTATACAAGGGTTTTTTGGTACGACAAACCGAACCATGGGCATAGTTTTACTGTAGCCGCTACTGTACATGTAGTATATTAACACGTTCGCGGACACTCTATGTGTCTAGTGTGTGCCTAATGAGGCGCTGACGCTATAAGCCGCACTAGTCAGTGTGCCTATTGGGACAGTGACGGCACTTGCCGTCAACTACATATAGTGCTCTAACTTCATTTTGCTGTACATCACGTCAATTCTGCGTATATTAGGAGGTTTGGTGTCCCGCTGGACACCTACTATCCAAATAATAAGTGTAGTAGATTTTTTTTAAGAGGGGGAGAGGTACATCTTCGGACATCGGTAGTCATACGTATACGTGTTGGCAGTATGAGTCTGTTCGTTATCGAGAGCAGATGTATGCATTCGAGCTACAGCAAAATGGACGATAAATATAGTGGATGCTCTGGTATGAAGAGTGTGAGAGCGAAGATGAAAGCAGACATGATCCATATAGTACAGATGACTCCATTGCTGATCCAGAATATATGCAACAGGACTCAGACTCTTGTACTGATTCAGAATACGAGAATATTCCAAACAATGATGAGCGTAAGTTGATGCGCATTTTTCCCATACACATTAGTTACGTTTGTTTGTAAATTTTATCTGGAACATCACGAAAAAAGCGTAAACGGAAAGAACCTAAATCAAAAGTTGATTTGCCATCAGGACATGTCGATAGCGAGGGCTCTGATGATATCGATGTTCTATTAGATCCAGACAACGATGAACAAAAATGGGAAGATAAAATAATCGATTGTTTAGAGTTTTCCTTTGATTCCATATCAGTTGGTGTGAAAGAACAGCTAGCAAGCAAGCCTCCAATTGAGATTTTTGAAAAAATTTGGACTGTTGATGTGACTCATTACATTGTTCAAAAGTCATTAAATATGGTGAATTATTATTTGTGGGCAATAGGCCTAAGTCCAGAAACGAGCGATTCAAGACATTTCAACATATTTCCGTAAAAGAAATGAAAAGTTTTCTCGGTTTGTGTCTCCTTGCTGGCCAGTTGAAGTTCAAGTCTATTAGGGACATGTTTTCAATGGATCCTCTCAATTATCATCCGGTATTCCCGGCTACTATGTCAGGTAGACGATTTGAACAGATTCTGAGGTGCTTGAATTGTGCAGATGATGAAAATAAGGAGGATAATCTCTATAAAGTTAGTTGGCTTGTGAAATCTATCATTAAGTCAAGCCAAAATATGTTTTCTCCGCCAGAAGCCTTATCTCTAGATGAATCACTGTTACTTTTCCGAGGCCGATTACGGTTTCGGGTTTACATAAAAAATAAAAAAAGTAAATATGGGATTAAGTTCTATGAGCTGTGTTCCAATGACGGATATGTCCTAAATATAGAAATTTATAAAGGTAAATCTAATAGAGAAGATGTCAGGGGCAGTTCTAAAATAAATTCTTTAGTTCTTAGGCTTCTGGAGCCATTTCTAGATAAAGGCCACCATATATACATGGATAACTTTTAGGTATAACAGTGTCCAGTTATCGGAAATCCTATTGCAAAGGAAAACTCACAGGACGGGGACATTACGCTCCAATAGAAAAGGTAATCCCAAAGAGGTTACTGGAGCCAAGTTGAAATCCGGGCAGCATATTTGGAGAAGAAAGGGAAATGTGTATGTTTCCAAATGGCGCGACAAACGTGACGTCTTATCCATCACGACGGGCTATAAGCCTGAATTGGTTGAAACTGCCAACAGGTATGGTCATAAAAAAACCAAGCCATTAATGGTCAGTTGCTATAATGACAATATGTCAGGTATTAATCGTGCAGATCAAATGATTATCTATTATTCATGTCCTAGAAAAACAATCAGGTGGCACAAAAAGGTTATATTTCATCTTCTTGATATAGCTGTCTGGAATTCCCATTATTTATATAATCATAGCCAGAAAGATAACAAGACGTTCAAAGAGTTCCGAAATGATTTAATAAAATCCTTACTTGGGATCTCTCCGGATCAGAGAGCTGGAAGGGAATTTGTCAACTTGATGAAAAAAACAAAGTCTATACATCCAAAAAAAGTAGAGAAAATTTGGGCCACGTTTTGAAGGCTATACCTGTGCCAGAAACCAAAAAAGGTAAAAAAAAGATTTATAAATAAACGCTGTAAACAGTGCTACCTAGAACAAAGGAGGAAGTAGACTGCATGGCAATGCCGTGATTGTATAAGAAAACCATCTCTTTGTGTTGGAGACTGTTTTCAGGTTTGGCATAAAGCTTGATCGCTTATATTGAAAACACCTAAGTATTTATTTTGCTGTTTGACAATGAATAAAATTTAAGGAATATGTATTTATTTTGTGTTTGTACACATACTATACTTCATAATAAAATTTGTTTCTGTACTGCTCTGGTTATTGTTCATGACTTCAATAGAAAACAGGTAATTTAAATGAGTTAAACAAGCAGCTATTCGCATGCGGCATATGCCGTCAAGTATCCCATGTGAGTGAAATGGGTGCGTAGGGGGACATGACGTCATATACCGCATGATTTTTTTCCATCATATCTGCATGTGTGAAAAATTCCTGTTTGAATGCTATTTGATTCATTTTTCTATGTTTGATATCAAATAATTTATCAACGTGACATTTTGAGCACACCTCAACATTTCTCAGTGCCCCGCTAGAAAACAGTTCATTGACGTGATATGCCGTCAGTGTCCGCGAACGTGTTAAAATGACCGAAAAATTTTTTTCTTAGTGCAATTTTTTGCTTTTTGAATAAAAAACTGCTTCTTCGCACTTTTCAACATAAAAAAGCTCTCCTGTGAGTTTTCGTTATAGTTAGCCGTTTTTGAGATATTTCGATTTTTAAGGTTCGATGCATTTTTAATTATTTATGGGAAATAATTTTTTTTTTACATTTTCGATTTGGGCATTACAAGTAATTAAGATGATCGTTTAGATTGTGTTTTCAAACACAGCAATAATTCCTAACTCCAAATAAACACAAAAAACAGAATATTAATTTGTTTAATTTTCCAATATTATTTTTAACAAATTAAATTAATTATTTACAACTAAAATGCTGGATAGTTAGGACAAACATACAAAATCTAAAGTAGTTGCTCGAAATGTAAACCCAATTTTCAATACACAATTCACATCTACGAATGATCGAACGTGGTATAGCATTATTCAAATAAGGCCTTATTTCATCACATGCATTCCTGATTCTGTCTATTAGCATATCTCTTGTGGTTACGGGAGTCTGGTACACTTTTTCTTTTAGAAATCCCCACACAAAGAAATCTAATGGATTTAGGTCAGGGGATCGTGGAGGCCAGGCGCCTGGTCCTCCACGGCCGATCCATCTTTCTGGATAATTTTCGTCCAGCCAGTTTCTAACTATTCTCGAATAATGAGCTGGACAACCATCAAGCTGGAACCAGGCCAATCTTGTTAAATCTAACATAACATCATCCCTCATATTTGAATGTTCAGCCTTTAAAAATTCCAAGAAGGTCGCAGCATTTAACCTTGCAGGCAAAATGTAGGGTCCTAATAGTCGATTACGGTAGATACCAATCCACACGTTCACACTAAATTCATGCTGAACATTTCTTTCCTGAACTGCATGCGGATTTTCATGCGACCAAATATGTTGATTATGAAAATTTAACACTCCACGTCTAGTGAAGCATGACTCATCGGTCCATAAAACGTTACTTAAAAACTCCCTATTATTATCAGTTCTATCAAGAATCCACTGACAAAATGTGATTCTTCGTTCTCCGTCCCCTGGCTGTAGTCCTTGCACGGGTTGCAAATGGTAAGGACGTCTATGGTCATTTCTAAGAACATGGTGAACATGGCTTGCTGAAATTCCCAAGGCACCAGAAACTCTCGTAACACTTGTGGTCGGATCTCTATCAAACTCACGCAAAATCATACGGGTAAATCTGCGCTGACGAACATTTATGTTTTGATCCATTTGGAGATTTCCAAAACCATTTTCAATTATTTGGCAATGCACTCTTACAAATACTGAACGAGTTGGATGTCGTCTGTTTGGAAATCTTCGTGCGTATTCTCTGGCTGCTTCTGCTGCGTTTCCATTTACAAAGCCATACACAAAATGAATATCCGCTAACTCCTGATTGGAGAATAAAAATGGCATTTTTATAAATTTTACAAAAAAAACAGGTAAAAGAAACTAAATTTCGTGCATTCACAATTGCAAAAAAACGTTTCAGGTTTCAACAGACAACAAAACTAACTGTCAACTAATTGACGTTTAACCTTATTCTGCTTTCAATTTCAAAAATATTTGCAGGCACAGCCTACTTCTAAAAATTATCGAGATACTGACTTTTTAACGTTATTTTATCATAAATAATTAAAAATGCATCGAACCTTAAAAATCGAAATATCTCAAAAACGGCTAACTATAACGAAAATTCACAAGAGAGCTTTTTTATGTTGAAAAGTGCGAAGAATAATTTTTTTTATCCAAAAAGCAAAAAATTACACTAAGAAAAAATTTTCGGTCATTTTAATACACTACAGGTACAGTAGAGAGCGCCCTCTAGCGGCTACAGTAAAACTATGCCCATGGTTCGTTTTGTCGTACCAAAAAACCCTTGTATAAATGACGAGTAATAGCTTGTTTGAAAGGTCTTTCGAAGTCATTTATTTTAACGGTTGATTTCTTAAAATCAGTCGATTTGTTCTCGAGAAAGTTATAAAAATCTTTATTTATCTTGATTTGTTCAGATAGAAAACAAAAACCCATGAAAATATCACTTTTTGTCTCAATAAGTGTTCCGCACCGGGTGTCACCTTTTTTGGGGTGACACCCACCCGGTGACTCAACTTTGAACAATGTACAAACATAAAAGAATTTCACAGATCTCATTGCATGACTGTTAACGAAACTGCTACAAAAATAGAGGCACTTCGTCTTTATATCGAAGAAAAAGTGGGTCACATTGTGAAAGATGCAATAAATATTGCTACAAAAAAATCAGACGACTACGATGTTCCAACAGAAAGACGACGTCGTCGTACAAAAAGGGAGGTTGGTGAGATGGCCAGTGATGCAGGACTCATAGTGAAGGAAGAACTTCAAAAAGATATGTTGGAATGTCTTAACCGATTCAGAGTTGAACTCCAGACAAGATCGAAGTCTCTTCAAGACCTAGCTTCATTGTTGGGCATCGTACAAAGAAATACTTTGCTTTTGGCAAAAACTGAAGAACTGAAATTAGCTACATCCAGATTTATTGATTTTTATGATGAGGTCTCAAAAACAGAATTAATTTTTCAGATACCAAGACTGCGAAGACACTTAAAAGCACCTAATGTTACAGTTTCTGATTGGGTATCTCTAGATTCTTACAGAATCTCTTCCAAATTTTATGCTTGCACTAAAATTGTTAGTGTCTTAGTTTTTATTGTTTTTTGTTATTTGTTCAATATTTTAAATATAAATACTAAATGATCCACGACGTTTATAAATCATGTAAAATTTATTGCTTATGTCTTTCGATGGGGTGACACCACCAACTTCTGCACCGGGTGCCACCCAAGGTAGCTAAACCACTGGGCTTGGCTCCTTCTAATCTATTCGAATTCGTTGATCTACAAAGTGAAAAACAACAGGCAGCAGCAGTTGACATGCTTCCTCTATCGATTCGTGAGGATCCACTCATTTTCTTCCAGTGAATAAGTCATAATATCAATAAACTAAAATACCTTCCATTACCCGGAATGCCTTACACTGACAATCAAAACTTTTTTTCACAGTAGAGGCAAACATCTTGTATAGTTCATCTGTATCTCAGTTTCTAAAACACCAAAAGATTAGAGATTAAATATATTGTGAGGTATTTTAGACATACTCTCATGGAAAATGTTGCAGAATGTGTTATTTCAATTCCAAAAAAAGCACTATGACAAAAACTACGCTAAAATTGACGCGGGTAAGTCGCAAGTTTTAGACTTGATAAAAATTGATCAGACGCGAACCTGTTATGAAATGTGTTAAATATTTTAGATTATGATTAATTAAAAGGAGTTTCCAAATTGTTTGATACTCACTAATATTATTGATATTGCCATGATAACCATGTGGTATTTTTTATCGTTGTATTGGAATACATATACAGGGTAATGTTCAAATGATCATAAAGTGGCATTTAGCATGTGATATTTAAGCTTTTAGAAAATGCTTTATGTGTTCGTCAAACATTATAACGTTTTATTGTATATTATAATGATATTACCGAAACATTGCAGTCAAATATTTTACTAATGATTCATTCATGTTATACCAAAAAATACTCTATACATAGAATTGAATAAGTATTTAGCATTTTAACAATATTGTACCAAATTATCCCCTTGAAGAGACAATAATCACTAGTTGAAATCAATGCAATTTGGGTAAATACCTACAATGTTTTGAGTGAATTTCATGCTTGTTGATTCAATCAATATTTGTTCTCAAGTGCAAAAAGTGTTCTGGAGGAGATATCAAACATAAGTATTTTTAATATTTTCTCATTGGCCAAGTGATGCAATTAACTCAATTCACTGTTTGTGTATACCCAAATAGGAGTTGTTAAAGCTCAATAAAGACAAGATTTTAAAAAACTGTTTTTTATTTCTACGGCCATACATGCTTTTCTATCCAATCTATATATCTCGACACCCTCGTATATACAGCTGGCACTACTCCTCCACATCCCATACCGTACGATATCACTCCCACTATAGAAAAACTGCAGTCTTTATTTTCGACCTGTAGTGGGCCTCCTGAATCACCCTGCAAAAGGATTAGAAAAAAATATTCAAGAGGTTAGCAACCATTGGAAAAAAGTATAGAGCCTTTAAAGTTTTACGCTTTTCTGATTTCTTAAATTTCGGTAATGACAAAATCTGAAACAAATCAAAGTAGGCTGTGAAATGGTAGCTCCGATTTCGATTCAGTTGGTTTTAATTTAATAGCATGATTCAGGAGTATAAAAAAGATTTAAGAGTATCTAATGAGGCTATAATCTCTTGTCGTTGTTTATTTAAACTGAGTTATTCTTACCCCACAAGCATCTGTACTATTTCCGATAGCACAAATCTGAGAAGACCGAATGGTTCTGGTACGCATCGTTCTGTCTCTGTATGTGCTGTTGCATTCACTCACTGAAACGGCGGACACCCTTGCTTTCTGGAGAGTTACGGTCTTGTCGTCTTCTTGATCTATAAATAATAATTAAGAATAATTCCAGTACAACAATTAATACGTGAGGTGGCAATTAAGTCAGGAGTGTGTGATAACTCGGAAACTAGCCGCATCATTGGTGAGGCTCCGGTTTTTTTATTAATCCACATGGAATTGTCTGTATTATATATCCATCGAAGAAAGAGACCAAACCTAAACATATTCACGTATACTCCACGTGATCGCGCTCCAGAACGCCGAGCACGTTACAGGGCCATCTTAAGCCATGTAGTTCGCAGACATATTTTTCTTATTTGTATTTTGTTTGATTTTAGGGCATTTGGGAGTACCGATATAGGGGTGCTGGATAGGCGCCCCGTGTGCCCATAGAGTAAAGACAGAATAAGTTGTAGAGTGATCCATACTTACCTATAGTGGTTTTTCCCCACCCAATGACCCACATTTCGTCCTCTGGGTCGCCATTATTCCAATACAGGCACGCTGGGCGTACCCTTTCGGAAAACTGAATCTTCTGCTCGACTTCTATCAAGGCTATGTCGTTATACTTCGTACTGTAATCGTACTCATCGTGTATTTTGTACTGCTTGATGTTCAAATCGTTTGCGGTTTCGGTGATCTTCAACACTCCCAGCCTGACCTTGGTTGGTATGACGCTGGACATGAAGCAGTGTGCCGCGCTCAGGAGGAACTTGTTGGAGATTACCGATGCGCCGCAGTCCCAGGCGATTGTACCATTTCGATCGAAACCTAAAGCTGCCTAAATTACATCATTCGTCAAAAAATATAGACAAACGTACACATTTTACTATATCAGGTCTCGTGCACTGGGAAAAACTTTCAAAGTATGGTGACTCTGAAAATCAGAATTTTCGACTCAGTCTATTTTTCTTTAGATGATTCTGAGTAAGAAAAAGTGTCCTCAGTAAAGTTTTGTTTAGAACCTTCCAAGAAAAACATGATGGTAAAAAGGTCCAAAAGCGAAAAGTCTTACAACTGTCTAAAATGTATTATACAAAGTTGTGTTTACAAAGTTGAGTCATTTATTTTAACAGCTTGTATATAGGTGATTTTTGGTGTATCAACTGCTTTTGACAAGTGCTACAAGCAGTTAAAATAAATGGCTCAACTTTGAAAAACCCTATATATATATACATATATATATATACAGGGTGACTTCGAAGTTGAGTCATTTATTTTAACAGTGAGTAGATCTGATCAAAAGAAATGTTTTTTTCCTTTACCATTTTCCTGGTAAAATTAAAGTAACAAAGTTATAGCCCTTTGGAAGTTTGAGTACCGCCCTGTCTCAATAATAATATTATGCGGTCGTGTTTGGCGACAACGGATATAATCCGCCGTATCGGTTCATCGCATCGGAAACAAAAAAGCGAAAGAATTTGGAACGATGTTTTTACAATTATTTTATTCAGTTCAGTTATACATACAGTCAGTGTCAGTCGGTAACGCGTGTGAATAGTGTCTGTTACGTGGCTCAAACGAAATAAAAAATGGCACATGTTTATGCGGATCGGTTTACCAATCGAGTGCAACCAACCCCTCGTGCCTTTGTTAATGTAACGGGCTCGTGAATCAGGTGACTTAAGACCTCACAGGGGACCTCACGATCAAATACAGGTCCGCACTGAAATACTTGTCGGGAGGATACTTTATAAAACAAGGTAAAAAAATTTTTTTAATTTTTTTTTATTTTTACACACATATTTTGGTTTATCTTCCTTCTACAATCATTATCTGAAAATTAATGACTCAACTTCAAAGTCACCCTGTATTTATATATATATATAGAGAGAGAGAGAAAAGTATTCTTTAAAGTTGATCATTTAGGGCTTGTTGTCATAGTGGAGAATTACAGTACATTACAGTTGGTTAAAACGTTTGTCTTGTCTGTTCGAGGATTTACTTTCAGCAACAACACAAGGCTTGAAGAGTAATACTCTCCGATTCTATTATCATCGATCAAGATCAATAAACTTTCATTTTTCATATAATAAAAAGTGTGTTACCATGTGTGGAAATTCATCCTGTAATGCGTTTTCACCGTTGATGATATTAAAATGGACGCAAGATGCCTGCTTCTTGATCTCTTCACAAGCTGAAAAAATAAACATTCTTCAGTACTTCAGTCGTTTGAGAACTCAGGAGTTTGGCTGATATCTTTCACATCTGCTCCGAAAGTATTTTGATTTATTTTTGTCTGCATAAAGGACCAGTTTTTGCGAATCCGCGTGTTGTCAGGCCCAAAATTTCGTCCTAAATTGTTCAATTTTTTAAGCATTCCAAAAATTGTGTTTTCTCGTAAGGAGTTTCTTGATTTTTTGAGTCATTATGAACAAAAATGTTCTCAGGAACTGTTCTCTAAAGTTGATTGTTTTCGATGTATAAGCTATTTAATATATGACAAAGCGCAAATATGCCATTTTCAACATAATGTGAAAGAACGAAGATTTTAATATTGGTAGAGTCCGCAAATATGCTTGAAACATCCATTAACAAAATACTGTAGCATTTTAGGGGGTATTGTATATAAGCATGTGCTTGTTAATGAAATTGATATAGTGAACATTCAATGAGCATTTCTTCGAAAGAAATATACGTTTAATGACGGATCTTAATGTCACGCGCATAAAAATCTAACAAATTGGTTTTCATGATTTATGATCTATTCGGCTAGTGATTTACACGTGGAATATTTTGAATACGTTAACTTGTGCAATTTAATGTACACGAATTTTCTATTGTTTACATCATTTTTCGGGTTTTCACATAGAATAAAAATTGATGTCTAGTAATCAAATGGAGATCCCAACGATTTGTTAACAGATTAATTCATCTAGTTTGCATAAGGTATTTCCGAAGTGCACTAAGACTACAAAGATATGCAGTGAAAATATAAATAACAAATATCTAAATTTTGGTTGTGACGTTCAAATATACAGGGTGGCGCATTGAAAACGAAACAGACTCATTTACTGGCAGCTCAGTTTTTTTTTGGAAAAACGCTCAGACCCGTCAATTTTGTTTTTGAGGGGGACGCAAGTTTGGTAAAAAATCACGTTAACACGTGCAGCCCTCTGGGCGGGGGTGACACCAACCCTAAAATCTTGAATGGAAAGGGAGGTCGAGTGGTACCTTATTTTAAAGGTCTTTCAATTCCCTTTATTATGATGTAAAATACATGAGCTTCAGTTCAGTAGTTTTGAAGATTTATTGATTTATAGTTTGCGATTGATTTGACCAACCTTTGCTGTTAAAACAACTTGTAACGCTTTATTACATAAATTAACCATGGTATATTCCACAGCAGAAAGAGTTGAAATTATCGAAATATTTTTCGGAAATAATCAGTGCGCTAATAGAACAGCAGAGATATTTAATGAGCGACATGAGAACAGTAACGTGCATCGAAAATATGTTCTAGAAGTTGTAGCTAAATTTCGGGAAACTGGGTCAGTCGCCAATAAAAAACGCAACATTGAAAATCCCATAAGGAACGAAGCAATAGAAGTGGGGGTTTTAGGGCAAGTTTATGTAGATCCTACGTTAAGTACCCGCAAATTGGAGACTGTGTGTGGTGTTAGGCGACGTACTGTCCAAAGGATTCTAAAGGCCCATAGTTTTCATCCATATAAAATTCACCTGGTACAAGAACTTAATGAAGACGATTTTGATCGACGATTACAATTTTGTGAAGATATGAGTGAACGAATTATAAACGATGAACATTTTCTATTCAACACTTGCTTTTCCGACGAATGTTCGTTTTTCTTAAATGGCGTAGTAAATCGTCATAACTGCCGATATTGGTCCGATTCAAATCCCAGAATTTATCATGAGGTTGAGCAAAATCTTTATTATTGCATGGAGAGTCCTGGTGGCCATTTTCAACATTTACTTGCCTAACGGGTCAGTTCATTCTTCACTTTTAAATTACTTTGCTGCCAAATGTATTGATCTCCACTAATGATGCTGTAATAGTTTTATTTAAGCTTTAAATCAATAAATCTTCAAAAGTATTGAACTGAAGTACATTAATTTTATATCATTATAAAGGGAATTGAAAGACCTTTAATATCACTCGACCCCCTTTCCATTTAAGATTTTGGGGGTGGTGTCACCCTCGCTCAGGGGGCTGCACGTGCTAACGTGATTTTTTGCCAAACTTGTGTCCCCCTCGAAAACAAAATCGACGGGTCTGAGCGTTTTAAAAAACTGAGCTACCAGTATATGCGTCTGTTTCGTTTTCGATGCGCCACCCTGTATGTATAGTAAGTGAAGCAGTCTCAGACTGATTATTGCCCAAGGCGATATTAGCTGAACTTAGCGGCAAAGAAAATATAACAACCAGGAAAGATTATTTTACTTGAATGAATTTTTTCACACCACTTAGATATGAGGAAAAAGAAGTCATATGATTGCGCAGTTATATCTGCTCTTATGGAAACCAACTAGTGATTTATCACCATATGTGACTGAACTGAGCTGAAAACGCCACTTGCACCGTACTGTAGGAATCACGGTTTGAGGTGCCACTACATATGGTGCTTAGTTCCGTAGAGGAGGTTTTACGGCGAAGAGGAATATCCAGGAGATACTAGAACCTGTAGTCGGTTTTCGGTTTTAGATACTTTTTCCGGATTGGTTGGACACGAGCAAATTTCCAGTTCGCTGGGAAGGTGCTGGATTCGTAAGATATCTGGAAGAGACGCGAAAGAACTGGAGCAAGATCCGCTGCACACCTCTTCAATACAACAGCAGCAATCAAGTCCGGATCAGAAGCTTTGTCTTATGCTAATTTTTGTTGAATTAAATACTTATATAGCACCATTGATGGTGATTATCCCGAGATACTTTCCCCAAAATAAATATTCATATCTATACCTTGTTCGCATTTCCTCTTGGAGAATCTATTCTGCTTGTGAGTATCTTTATGATGTGGCCTATGACCATGACTCTCCTTGTCTCCATCATCTTTGTCTTCTGGACCTCTACTTGTTACATTGGGACAACAAACCACCTCAATTTTGTCATCCCAGTCACATCGCTTAAAATCGTGAGTGTGCCATCTTCTTAACATATCAACTGCAGGTGGACAGTCCGTCACACGTTTACAAACGCCTGCTTGGCCAGAATTACTGCATGCTACACCTACTGGAATGATGGACAAATTCAGTCGATCACCTACAAATGCTTTTTGGGTTAAGGAACCAAAATGAGAATTAAAAAATGGCCAAGTAGGTTGACTCTGCACTTTCCACGCCACGTTGCCATGGGTTAGTCCAATCTGAACTAGCTACAAACAGTCATAACAAAAACATTAAATGTCCCACAGTCCCACTCATTTGCTAACGCTAGGTTCTTCCATGTTTCAAGTATCGACCATCTGGCAACGGTGTTGAACCACACTGGTACAGTAAATAGTAACTCGAGAGAACCGGCGATGCAGTCAATCAGATGCAGAAAAGCAGACAGTGCTCAGTGTAAGAAGGCAGCGTCGCGGTCGACCGGGACTTCGGGTCGCGTCTATAAATATTTCTCTAAGTTTCAAGGGCAAATCTATGATGTAAGATATGTACTATAAATATACTGCTGCCAAAATATTATTTATACCCTTCACCATGCCCTACAACCCTCAACCCTTGCAAAGAATTTTTGAAAATGATCAGGAGTCTCCAGACATCAAACAACGAAATTTGAGCGGTTTTCATTTTTTGGGATTTTTGCCCCTATCTCTGTCACCACTGGACCGGATTACGAAAACCGCAAAGCTTTTGCGTCCGTGGCATAGTAGTAATACTGTGTAAGCGTACAAAACATACAAAATGACAAAAAACCTATAAGATGTCAACTTGCAGACTAGGTAGTTTTTAGGGCTCAAACAGTCATTCCACGTTTGCTCACTAGGATCGTTGTGAACGTCCATCTATGGAGGAATCACTCAACTAAACTACGCATTATTGGTTACATAGTTTTGTGAGGCTGAGTGATCCGTGTCTGTAGTTTTTATCTCTGAGAAGAAAGTTGGTTGAATATCAAGATCGCATCTGGATGATTATGTGTATTGGTCTGCATGTGTATAAAATCAGTGATATTTGCTGCGTGAGAAAATCATTACTGAATATGCCGAATATGACGGGTTATTTACATGTTGTGCTTTCTGAAGAGAGGTTATGTTCAAAGTTATAAATTATGCAAAACTGAGGAGAATTACGGAAAATCATCACCGCGCCCGCGTTATGTGTAATTACTGTTAGCATGTATGTATATGGCTTGTAATTCGGCAGTGTAGAGAGAATATAATTATTTATCTCTCTCTCATTTTTGAAATTCAGCAGATTTGTATATGTAATTTCCAGAATGGATAAGCAAAAGTGGATGCGCAATTTAATTTCTAGCTTTGAATCTCAACTAAGTGTATTTGAGACAAGAACCCAATGTAATTATCATCAACACATACAACTTAGACCTCCAGTAATGCCATCTCAGAAGCAGATTTTACATCACATCAGAGCCAAAGATTGATAACAAGCCTCATGACGTTTAGGCAACATGTACAACTAAGTGCTAAGTTTTTTTTTTTATATCGAAACAGCCGCGCAGGCAGAAGCCTAAATGCCGGAACACTGCGGCTGCTATGATGATCCCAAAGAAATTTTGTTAATACGATTTTTGAACTGCCCAAGGTTAGTAGAACTGGGAAAAGCTTCATCCCGTAGATTGTTCCACAATCTAGACACCCTCGGGACAAAGGAGCGGTCGTATCGGCCAGTTCTGGATGTACGAAGTTTGACACGGTTAGGATGGGACCCCGAAGTCAGGCGGGTCTGTCTGGCAGGCACATCGCGCGGCGGCATCATGGAAGAGAGCTCTGAGGAGCAAAGTCCGTTGGTGTAGCGATAGAAAAGAGCCAGATCGCCGACGGCCCGCCGGTGCGAAAGAGTTCCGAGACTGTCTGTTAGAGAAGAGTCATCGATCAGTCGGACCGCCCTCCTCTGGACAGCATCGAGCATGGACAATGTAGTCGGGGCGGCAGCACCCCAAATGTGTGAGCAATACTCGAGGCTAGGCCTTATCTGGGCCTTGTATAGAGTGAGAAGGTCATGCGGAGAAAAGTACTTCTTAGCCCTAAACAAATAGCCTAGCTTTTTCCCAGCAGCTGCAGCTATTGAAGAGATGTGTTCGTGCCAGATCAGGTCGTCGGTGATCTGGACTCCGACCAGCCGAAATGAATGGCTCTTTGGTAGAACTCGACCGTCCATCGAAACTGTATGAGCGCTAGGACGCTTTTTGTTCGTCAAAGTACAGTACTGTGTTTTGGAAGCATTGAACTGTACAAGATTGTTGCGTCCCCAAGCAGTGATAGCCTCCAGGTCTCTTGTCAGAGAAGAAGTCGTCGCTAGTCTTCTTTTTTCCAGCTCAGCGGCAGAGATCGGCTTGTCACTCTGAATTCCTGCATGTAGAGTGCTGTCATCAGCGAAGCTGTGGATTGGGTTGATCGTGCAGGAAAGGAGGTCGTTGATATGTAAGAGAAACAGTGTTGGAGCCAAGACCGATCCCTGGGGAACACCCGCGTTGACGTTGTGGGATGAAGAGGAGAATCCGTCAATTACGACGGATATCTTGCGGCCAGAGATAAAGTCAGCCACCCATCTGCAAAGCTTTTCTGGGAGGCCGTAGGATGGAAGTTTGCTCAAGAGGGCAGCGTGCCACAGCTGATCGAACGCTTTCGTGATGTCAAGAGCAACGACATGAGCCTCACCATGAGACTGGATGAGTTTACTCCACAGTTGCGTGACGTAAGCTAGGAGGTCCCCTGTGGATCGTTGGTGCCGGAAACCGTACTGCCTGTCGCTAATCAAGCTGTGACGTTCGAGGTAGTCCAGAAGCTCGCGATTTATGCACCTCTCCATCACTTTACTTATAACAGAAAGCAGAGCTATAGGCCTGTAGTTGTAAGGGTCGGTTTTAGATCCTTTTTTTGGGATGGGCTGTACATGAGCAAATTTCCAGTTTTCTGGGAAGGTGCCGGATTCATAAGATATCTGGAAGAGACGCGAAAGAACTGGAGCAAGCTCAGCTGCACATCTCTTCAGTACAATGGCAGGAATCAAGTCCGGAGTCCGGACTAGAAGCTTTGTTGATGTCGAGCGACAAGAGCACTCGTCTTACGGACGTATGCCTGAATGTTACCTCCCGCATAGTGTGGGGAACCCTTTGAATTGACGGCACTTGGGCGTTGGTAGGGACGTCCATGGTGGAGTTGGCAGCAAAGATCTTGGCTAGCACTTCCGCCTTGGCCTTTGAGTCGAATACAATAGTTCCATCCTGACACGTAAGTGGTGGAAGGCTACTGTGTGAGAAGTTCTTTTCAATCTGCTTGGCCAGCGTCCAGAAAGACCGACTGCCATTGCGCTGCGACATTACCCTGTGCCTAACTTTTATATCATGCTGGGTTTTGGCATTGCGAACCGCTTCGTTATATTTGTTTCTGGACTCGACGTCGGCTTGTCTGTTCTCTACAGTGGGGTTTTGTAAGTAGGTTCTGTGGGCCTTGATCTTCTGCTGGCGAGCAGTGTCACACTATTTGTTGAACCAGTCGTTGGACCCTGGTTTAGGAACTTTCACTGTGTGAGGAATGTATTCCTCCATTCCGACGTGGATAATTTCGGTTATTGAAGAACAGACAGTCGACGCATCAGCGTCAGTGAAACAGACATCTCTCCAAGGAAAGTTAGAGAAGAAGTCTCTGAGCCCCTCCCAGTCGGCATGTCCGTAATGCCAAGTTTTGCGGCCTGTGCGAGTTTCTGCTGCCACAGCGGCTTCTGACCGAAACCTAACCTCCACAACACCGTGATCTGAGTTACCCAGGGGTGACAGGACAGCAGTGCTGTAAGGGGCAGGATGCGTGGTCAGAAAGAGATCCAGCAGGCTACTGGCGTGTGACGAGACGCGGGGGAAAAAAGTAGGGCTCGTCACCAGCTGGGTCAGCCCTTGAGTAAGAGCGAACGCTTCGACTGCACGACCTGCTGCATCGGTCTTATTTGAGCCCAACCAAAGCTCATTATGGGCATTGAAATCACCGAGAAGAACTACCTCTGAAGCGGGGTGATTTATGTTCAGGAAGTCGATCTGGACGGCGAGGTATTCGAGTAGGTCATCCCAGTTATGGTTCGAGGGAGAGCGATAAAGGCAGCAAATAAATTTGGGTGATGTTTTGGAGTTGAGGCGAAGCCACAGAATGTCCTTCCGGTCTGATTCCAAAGAAATCATATTGATTGTGGGTTCCTACTGAGTAAGATTAATTTTCATGCTCCCAGATTAGTTGGTCGGCATAATAACATATTTTACTGTGATACACCACGGACGAATATTTTATGCAGATCCCCAGTAATGGTAATGTGTACCTTATTCAATTCAATCTGTAACAGAGCTGATGTATGTCATGACAGTCTTAATAAAATATTAAACATTTACAGGGAGCAATTGAGATAAAATCGTTTTGTTGATGGTGTCAGTTATTGTTATTCTTCAATTTGAGCACTTTTATGTTTTTTTTTCTTCTCTTTTTTTTGTGAAGTGTTTAATTATTCACCTATGTATTATGTGTTCATTCAGATCACTAATGTTTTTCTATTTTCTTTTTTTTGTTATTATTTTCTGATTCATTGTCTATATATATATATGTGTATATATGTATGTGTGTGTACATATGTATATATATATGTGTGTGTTCATGTGTATATATGGTACCATTTTGTTTTGATTTCCTGTGATTGGGTGTATACCTGTTGGAAATAAATATATATTATTATTATTATTATTAAAGAAAGATCCCTGGAGCAGGAAAGACTGCTGCGGACAAAAGCCACAACTCCCCCGTTCTTTCTCAGATTGGAGTGCACCTCGTAGTTTGGGAAGTTGAGATGGTTGATCGGTGCAGTCTCTGAGATTTTTGTCTCCGCCAAGAAAAGCACGGCGGGACGATTGGATTGCAGGTAGTGATGAACAGGATCAATGTTGCTGTTGATCCCGCAGATGTTCGAAAAACAAATTTTATCTTCGATGTTGTTCCCTCGAGCCCACCCTCCACCCGGACATTCCGAGAGTGGAGTGAGTTTACGTCCGGAGTTTTTAGTGCTCGAGGGATCCATCATCATTAATTTCTTTGTTTTCGTAGATAACCGACTGCATAGCTTAGGTGTGGAAACATGCGGACATTTATAAGACACCCTGGGAAAAGCTACGTTAACATCTTGTAGAATAACCTACATAATGTCAAAAAAAAACAGCATAATGTCAAAAAAAATCGGCATGATGTCACTTTTCAAGATACGTGATACCCGTGCTGATCGGTCTTCTCAAATTATAGGCGGTTATAAGATTAGCCGACAGACAGGCCGACGGAAATTAGTAGCGTTGTTTTCACATGTCATATTTTCATACATATCATATAAAACATATCTCATTTTCGAAAAAATTTGCGCTTTTAATACTCCCCCGCCAGTAGGCGTGGGAAGCAAAAGTGGGAATGGAGAATGGGATATTTTAGAAATTCTTATTCGAAAAAAGATATCAACATGATGCCTATGTCTGCTTTGAGAAAGAAGCAACATACCTTCCAAAGCTCAAACGTAAAATTTCGAGCCAAAACTGTTTCGTTTTGTCATCGAGTTAAAACATCGCGTTGACAATGTTATGGTGACATTGTTTCAGTACCCTTAATAAAATAGAAATACTATTTGGCATAGGACTTGAGTGAGATCTCGTCAATGCACGAATTTCAATTCCAAGACAGCAGCGAAAGAAAGACGATAATAAATAATAAATTGTGAATGTGACAAATGTGTCACCGGTATGTATTTTCAAAACAAACAGTGTATTTTTCTGTGGCGAAACGTTACTGAAAAAATAATACGAGAAGTAAAAAATGCAGTATGTTTGTTATTCTTTTGCTTTTGCAAATTACAGATTATTGTCTCTTATCATAGTATCGCGTATTATATACTCAACTTCATATCACAATTCCCTGCAAATAATATGTTCCTCCGAAAAGCATCATCTGAGAACGACAGCTTTTTGAACTTAGACTCAGGCGTATCGTATTTTGTTTTAGAAATAGTTTTAAGAGAAACCCTTGTCTCTCTAAACAGGAGCTTTAGATCATATTTCCAAGGAATGAACCCATTGTCTATGTAGAGTATCTTGAACATCAAAAAGCAGGTACAAAACCTCAACAGGTTTTCCCAAGGGTTGTATGATATTTAATAGTGCATCCTAAAGTGGCTTTAAGCGAAATCCTAATTTCTTCAAAAAATAGCTAACAAAGAGACATGTTGAACCTAAAGAGACTGGAGTAACGTGGGAACATTTTTTTGTAGCTTATAGAGCTTAATGGTTTTGTTGATACTCCCTAAACAATTAAAAAAATGACAATAAAAGCTGGCATTACAGATACCAAAAAATATGCACCTGCTCTAGTTTCATTCGCTTGGGATAATTACTAAGCTGAGCTTCCAATTTCTTTTCAAGCGTCTTCTTCTCAACTTCACATTTGCCAATTATGCCTATATTCATTCTTCGGACTTACATAAATATACCTTTTACACAATTTATTTAAAGAATTGCCAATGGAACAATTTCCCCTGGCTATCTTGAATATAAGGAAATGATTCAAAAGTTTTTCAAGTTTTTCCGACAGTTGTATGAGATTTTGTTTGTTGTGGATGCGATTCTAGTGAATCCTGCATTAAATGCGCCATTACACCAAACCACTTATCAAAACATTTTGACTTTCTATAGTCTAAAGAGCTCAATTGATGGCTGATACTTCGCTAGCTTCTAAAGAAAATTTACCCCTCATGACTTTCAACTTTCATATGTTTCAAAAACTTTCGCAATAGTTATTCTAAAATGACTTTAAGAAAAGCCTTGATTTCTTGAGCAACGAGGATTTTTGAACCTAAGGTGTGTGGAGTGAAGTTCTATAGATACATTTTTCCTTTTCGTAGCTTATAGAGCTTAGGTTTTTGCCGACTACTTCGTCGATTACTAAATAAAATTATCCCTCCACTCCTATCAATATAAAAAACATTACAAAGATGCAGGAATATATGTTTAAGTTTTCCTTAGGCGAATTTCTAAGCACGTCAACAGATTTGACATTTTTTAAGCGCTTTGTTCTCAGCTTTTCAACTTTCAATGATGCACCAATTTTGGACCCGCGCAAATATATTTTTTAGGTTATTTTTTAGAAAAATGCACGGAGGACCCATTTCCTTTAGAATACAAGCTTTTTCCAAAAGTATATCAAATTTTGTTCAGTTCTGGTGATGTTTGTATTAAGTGCGACATTCTACGAAATTTGGGTTATTCGTTAGTTCATTCACACCAAATAAGCAAATAACTGTATTAAATTAGCATTGATTACACCAAGCCACACATTAAAAAGCTCATTAAAATGGCAATGTTTAAATAATCCTACCATACTCACTGGCACCCTCACATACTGCGACCACACTCAAAATAACACCAAAATACTTCAAGTTCAACATATTCACGGACACATTATTCTAGCTTCAACAACACACGAATACTACTGAATTCAGTTATCTTCCAATCTTCTCATAACTTGAATCTTTACATAGGCGTAGTGGTCAGCAGGAAATCGATTATCTTTTTTTGTGCATTCTGGAACCTGTTTGAAGAGTATTGAAGTTTTCGCGGTGATTCACATTATTCAAGAGGATTACGTCATACAGCAAGATTTTTATTCTTTTTTTAATAAAGCTCTTACAAGTAATGGTAATTAATTCTGAATCCATTGACAGGGAGTCGTTGTAGAGGAATGTACCAAAAGCAGGAATCAATTTTGTTATTGATTCAAATGAATACTAAAAATAGTGCAGCGTTTTTCTGGGTTCTTTTGGGTGTGGATTAAAACAAAAGGAAATGCACTAATTTATTTATCTTGACTAGATAGAACATGTATGTACACCACTATTTATGTCTGACTAATTCTTATGTCGCGCCATTGACTGAACTATACGCCACTCTGTTCTACTCTACTCTGCTACCCTCTTCCGGCCCTCGAGTTATATAGTCCGCATCGTTGGTTCGAGAAGATTCCGGTGAGCCACATAGCGGCATTCCCGAATCGTCAAAGTCACTTCGCGTCGATCTAGAAGGCGAGTCACTGGCACGATCCTCAATAGATGTCGCTAAGCGGCATGTGCGGTCGCGATCCGCGTAAAACAGAGATCGGCCTTGAAGCTCTGGCAAGTACGAAAGTCTAGCGCGGTCCCCAACAGATGGCGCCGACAGTACTATTCATTCTTGTTACAATAGCTTAAATCATATTTGTATATATTGTATATTGTAGTAGAAAATTATTATTATAAAAACGGTAATTGTCAAAAACCTTACGTATCCCGAAAATTAGATGTGAAAATCAGACGCCTAGAATAAATTGTCATCCAGCCATTAGGGATTTATTCTTAAACAGAATATATTTACAACAGATACGTGGTTTATTTTTTCCTAGCGACAGAAATCGCAGACGTGCACTTATTTTCATGTTCCCTACCTTTTTCCAAGCCATTTCATTATTCCGACAGGTATCAGTATCATGAGCCATTCTAGGATGACAAAACCAATCAAATTTAAACCAAATAACTAAAAATGAATCAATATCATGAGTATGGCCACCCAAGGATTTTATTATTTATGCAAATATTTAGGTGTAAAATCTTGCTTACAAATAATGATAATGAAAACTGTATCACTGTACAGTAACTTTTTACGATATTAAAACACATAATCGTGGGCAAAAAAGTAATATGTGGCGCGAGATGACTGCGCTCCATTACGGCATGGTAGATACCTAAGCTACTATTTATACTTGGCAATGGTGGCTTCAGAAGAGCCAAGAGACCCGCTAGATAAGCAGAAGTATGATAGGGCGTAGAGTACAATAGACCAGAATGTGCTGCTGAAACCAGAACTCCGGGGTCCAGACCCTCTTTTAACTGTATTGAAAGAGTACATCCACAAAGTCTTCAAAAGCCTCTGGAATGATCCGTTTTCTCAATACAAGAGGCAAAGTACTTAGTATGTAAAGAAATAAGAACCATTTTGTAAGTATTATGTATTTGAATTCCAGGAACAAGTTTTACATGATACGCAACTGTACATATAAAAACCATTTAACGGACCAGTTTTCAAATTTGTTTTCCATTATTATGTGATTAAATAGAATCCATAAGTATATTCCACGAATCAATTTTATTATTGGAAGTTAGGTAAATAACCGTCGATGTTTATACCATCCAAGAAATGACAACAAATATGATGATACTAAGCATGATGCTTTCGTCTGACCGACCAAAAGACAACCAACCATGGACATCTATTTTTAATATGTTGAGATCCTGTGCAACAACTGCATTTATTTTTAAAACCAGTTTGATCAAATAGCTGATGAGATCGGTACGACTTTACGTAATGCTGGATTTCCTTGTCCAACCTTTTTGAAATGTCCCCCAAGACTTTCAAAATGTCGTCTGCTATGAGAGAATCATCGAGGACAACAGGACCTTATTTTGTTTTTCAAACCATCCGCGATGATTTGCTTATAAGTCGAAATCACGAAGATGACGATTACGTCATCATTTTAGTCTGTAGACAGAGACAAACAGAATTTTATTGTCTAAACAGACTGTATTGCTAATATGCGTATATCCGACAAAGACGATGTTTTCATGTTTCATGATCGATCATATTTGAAAGATGAGTAGTTAGGTTATGTTGTAGCAGGTTAGGTTGTTTTCGAATAATACTTTGGTCTTTGGTGTTTCTATCTTAAGGTATTCTAATCGTAACTGTTTTTTCAAATCTCCGCACTAAAATTATTATTACTCAAAACCATGAAATAAAATGAAAATAAAAATAATCAGTGAAATAACCTAACTTCGCAAAATCATAATATAAATTTGTTGTCATCATTCCTGACATCGTGATTTTATCACCGACGTACGTCCATTGATTACTTCATTACAATTTATGGTGTGACGTAAAGATCATCTTTCGTGATTCTGACTATAAGTATTTATGTACGTCTGAAAATCTTCACGCCATCTATGACGCACACAGGACTGTCGCAATATATCTACTATATATTTTTCGATTGGTTAATAATTTATGGTATCGATAGTAATTGCTTAACGTATACGTGGTGATAACATGCCTGATTCTGAAGTAAACGGTAATATTATCGGTTTCGTCAAGGAAAAGCAAAATAGGCAACCTGGGCACCGACGCACCAAGCTGCTGTTCTATTACCAACTAGCCACTCCTCACACCGTGAGGTAAGCAACTAGGTGGTCCGCGAATCGGAGGGAACTGAGGATGATCGCTTTCTGCATTCTTTCGGCTAAGATGCTTGTCGCTGCTCGGCATACTGGCATCGATTTTAAAGCAGAGAGCAGTGCATTCCTGATTCCAGCCAATGATCCAAAGATCATAACTAGCCGACTGACAGTGTGGTCTGACCAAGGCCTGTGAAACTGATTTAGGAGCTCTTGATATTTGGTTCATTTTTCCTCTTCCTTCGAGACGATGCTCAATTCAAAACGTCGTCTTCTGTTAATTCAGTAAATGCAATACCTCTCGTTTTCCACAACGGACTCAATATCCCGTGGATCAAAGGGTAGCACAGGTGTATCATCAATAAGCCTTAATAGGTTATTTGCTTCAGCAGTTTTTATGGCGAGGGGCGAGCTCTGTAATGGGCTGTTGACGTTCCCACTTAAAGTCAAGTATGAGACTGAGCTCCTCGGCTTCTCTTTTTGCTGCTCTAAAAAGGAAAGATTCCTTACCCGCATTCTCGCGCTTCACGTTTTCCTTGCTTTTCCTAATTTCTTACACGACTAGTGCTACGAATCTGTTTACGATTCGATTGTACCGATACGCTACGTATTGATTGTTGGTAGTTGTGAGTTTGTTAAATTTCTTTAAATTCTTAGATTTTCAAGTAAGAAGACATGGAAATATAACAGCTGTTTCGTATTCAATTGTCTTTGTATATCAAAGTTTCCCAACTAACAATTATTACTCATATTAGAGTTGTAAGAATGATTATACAGTATTCCTTAAACAGCATTGTATACTGTAGGAACATTGGCAAAACCCTCTTAGAACAGCTATACAAGCGGAATGGGCACACCTAATAGGACACTTCAGTCATTTAAGAGGTTGTATAAGGGCTGCAGGTAACAGTTATAAAACAAAAGTGTAAGCCTCTTGCAGCCGCTATAGGACATTTGCGTCAGTGCAAGATTCAGTTTTTGTCAACTATACAACTATTCTGTTACGTGATTCTACTTTATTGCAACCAAACTATTTCTTATGTATTGTGTAGACGAAGTGAAGAATATATAACTAACACATTACAGTCATTTTGTTTACTTACATATCGGCCATTGTGAATTTCATACACAGGTATATGATAACTTCTACAATGTGATATACGGCTATTGAATTACTTGCGCAACAAATTTTATTGTGATTATCGTGCAAATTAGTTACCCAATTTCTACGGGCTTCGTATTTGATTCATATTTTGACAATGATCAAAAGTATGTCTAGATTTTTAAGATGGAAAACTGAACTTATCTGCGTTAAATCTTCCACAAATCCTATATTTAGACACAATTACACTAATTTTTATCACTTTATATCTGTAATTTCGAACTGAAACATAATTATTTAATATTAAATAGAGGAATAAATCTTTGCCCAATATGGCGGGTGGTTGTGTACAATCATGGCATCGTCCATGTTGTCTTTAGGTTATTAGAATATTTTGGTGTTGCCGCAGGTGTTATACAACAATTTGACAAATGTCTGAAATGAAATACCGACAGAGTCGAATGATTTACACAGAATTTGTACCAGATCTATATCTTCTGTTTGAACAGTTGATAAAACCTTTTGAACCAATATGCATGCGTTGTTTGTCTTAAAACATTGGTTATGGCATTTTAACAAAAATATGACAGCAGAAAGTTAGGTTATGGTGAAGTTGTTTACCAACATATTTAGGATATGTACAGCCTTTAACAGTTACTAAACAACAGTTGTATAAGTGGTTCCGTTGGGAGCAATTTGTTAGCTAAAGTAGTAAATTGCACAGCAAAACAACAAGGCTCGGGTTTGTTTTATAAACGTTACCATGGATGCCACATCACAACCACTTTGACTAACTTGCAAATATGCCGTATAAAATAGTTGTCTAAACGTCTATGCAACAGTTAAAAATTTGCCCTATAAGGTGTTGTATAACTATGCTATAAGAATATTTTAAACACCTACCTCATTTTAGAGCAAATATGTTGCAGAAAGCAAATTTGCATTCCACACAACATTAAGCCAGCATTTTGGTGTTCAGGCAATAACAATAGAGAGCTTTTATTTTATGGCTGAACGGTTCTTTTACCAAAAGCTTATACCACTACTTTGCTAGTTGGGGTGTACGTCTGACTTTATTCCCGAGTGTTGACAAACTAAACTTTGGATGTATGGATACTATACTTTTAAGGTAAGCTGCATATCACTATAACCACAAGAATGTCGGTCGGCAGCTTTTCAAAGCTGAACATTTTTGAACATTCTCTGCTTTTAATTCAACAGCCAATAGTCAACACGCTCAGTTTTTTTTTTTGAAGAA